CTCGATTGCTCCAGGTCCTCAACTCCGGGTCCCTGTGGGACTCCTGCCCCCTGGAGCCGGGCCTCCCTGCACTCTGCACCCCAATTCCTCACCACGCTTTTTGGGGTCCTTGGGCCACAACGGCGAATGGACTCTGGGGCCTGAAGGCGCAGAGGTTTGGATGGGAATTGTGTTTCTTGGCACGCAGGTCTTGGCCACATGTTGGCTGTCAACTAACCCGTTTTGGAAGATCCTCAGTCTGGGGAGCCCGAGGTGGCGACCAGCTGGTGTTTCTGAAGCCCCTGAGGCTGGTCTGGGAAGGGTGGGCTCCGGTGTACCCAGTCTTGGCGCCTGGGTGGTCTTCAGCTAGCCAGGGCTGCGGGTGGGGTGGGGAGCAGGGTGGTGGGCGAGAGGTGGGAGCCTCCCAGAGCTGTGTGGTTGCCTGTTTTGTTTCATCCTGAGTCAGTCGGGTGGCACCGGAGGAGGCCTTGGGGTCTGCTAGGCTCGGGTGACCCTGGGCCTCCTACCTTCAACCCAGGACACCATTGTGCCCGTGGGAGGGGTTCAGTGGATGTTCCTGATGTGAAAACCCCTTTCCAGCCACGGGTCACAGATGCACTTCCCGCACACGTGTCATCCGGGACCTCCCCATGTGTCACACTGGCCTCACCCTCTCATGGGCCGCACGTAGCTCCTCCTCCCACAGCGTGCACCCCCACATATCCCACTGCTCTGTGCATGGCACTGAGGGCCCCCTGTCACTTCCAGCCCCTCCCACCTTGTGTCACACTGAGCCCCCCTCATGTGGCACACGTAGGCTTGTCGCCCTGTATCACGCCAAGTCCTCTTTGCAGCCACATAGCTCACGGACCTCCTGTCATGCTGAACCCCTCCAAGGCCACCGGTCACACCGATTCCCTCCCTGACTTGTGTGTCCCATGAGCTCCCCCCACACGGTTGTCACATGCAGTCTCCTCTACAGACGTGTCACGCCAAGCGCCCTCTGACCTCTCCCTGCTCATGTGCCACACGGAGCTCTCCCTGCCCAAGTTATACCCAGCACCTCTGCCATTCCTGTACCCTGTGTCGCACCGACCCCACTCTTGTGTGGTGCAGCCCCTCCCCTCCGAGCCACAGGGAGCTCCCGCGGGGCTCACAGGGACCCATTTGCTCTGTGCCCTAACACTCCTTCCTCGTCCGCAGGTCACCCCAGGCCTTGTCCTGCCTGTTGTCCCACTGAGCCTTTGCCTGCACACCAAGCTCCTCCCTGTCCCTGCAACCCAGGACCCTCCCCAGTCCCGGGGCACGTGACGCTCCCCTCCATTCATGTGCGACTCCCTGTGTCACAGTGAGCTCTCCTGGTGTTTCAGAAAGCCCCATACCCTACCGTGTGTCACAGGCAGAGGATCTCCTCACGCAAGTGTCACCGGAGCTGGCCTCCCCTCGCTCTTGTATCACACAGCCCCTCCCCTCGTGGTGTGTCCCATGGAGCCCCCTCCACTTACCTGTGTGTTACGCAGGGCCCTTCCCCTCAGCTCTGTCACCTAGCGGCCCTAGGCTCACCCGAGTGTCGAGGAAAGGCCCTCGCCTCACTTCATCTGTGTCACACAGAAGGCTTCCCTTCGCCTGTGTGCACGTAGAGCCCCTCCCCTCCCTGGTGTGTCACACAGAGCCCCTCTCCTCCCTGCGAGCCCCTCCACATGTGTCACAGAGTCCTCTTCTGTCCTGTGTCACATGAGCCCCTCAGGTCACACATGGCCCCTTTCCTACTCAGGCACTGTCCTAGGCGTCTCCACCTGGAGCCCTTGGCCACCCAGAGTCACACTGAGCTCCTCCTTGCTCCTTCTTCATAAGGAGCCTGCCCTTAACCTTGGGTCACGGGAAGCTCTTCCCTCTAATGGGCTGGCCCAGATCCCCCCTCAGGTGTCACAGACGACCTCCCCACACGCGTGTACATGGAGCCCTTCCACTCAGGTGTCTCACAGAGCCCTCTCCACCCCGTGTCAGTCACCCAGAGCCCCTCCACAGCGGTGAGTCACACTGAGCTCCTCTGCTGTGTCCCTAAACCCCATCCCCTGCATGTGTCCCTTTGGGTCCTTCCTGCAGTTCTCCCTCCATTCCATTTGTCACCTACCCCGTCCCTCCCCACGTGTCATGCACAGGCTGTCCCCAAACCCGAATTCCAGTCAAGGTGCCATACTGCTCATGCCACACGGACCCCCGCAGGACACACGTATGACAGTGCATGCCTCTTCTTGAGTCACCCCCAGCGCGTCTCTGTCACATGGAGCACATCTTTGTGCCCATGAGTCCCACTGAGCTTCTTACCGCCCATGGGTCACAGGGAGTGCCCCTCCATTCAGGTCTCACAGACACCTCCCCTCACACGTTGCTCTCCCTCCCTGTGTCACTGTGGAAGCCTGCTCTGCCCGTGTGTCACAGGGGTGTTCCATTTCACTTCTGTGTCATGCACACACCCCATTACACACAGGGTCCCCGTCCACATCACCTCGAGAGCCTCCTTCACTCGTGTGTCACAGACTTCCTCCCCTCACACTGGGCTCCCCGATCCGTGGTACCCAAGAGCTTCCTCCGCACATGTCGTGTGGAATGTCCCTTTCATCCACGTGTCACACTGGATTCCTCCCCTGCTCAGGGGTGGCACCAGCCCCTTCCCTCACATCACCTGGGCCCCTTCCCCTGTGGGTTTTATATTCCACCCCAGCCACGTGTGTCACTGGGCTCTTCCTCGCTTCTGTGTCACAGGAAGCTTCTCACATCCAAGCGCCAGGTGCACTATGTCCCTCCTCCCTTGTGTGCCGTAGTAAATCTCTGCTCACGTGTCATGGATTCTCTGTCACATTTGGGTCCCTCCTCTCTCCTGTCATGGAGCGCCTCCTCTGCACGTGTCATACTGAGCACCTTCCTCTCCTTGTGTCCTATGGTGCCCCCTCCACGTGGGCCACAGGTCTCGGCTCAGCCCCAGTAGGTGCCCCAGCCCCTCCCCCCATGGGGTCACCCAGAGTCCTTTTCTCCTCTCACCCTGCCAGCCCCTTTCCTTAGGGCCTTAGCTCCCTCCCCACAGGCCTCAGGGAATCTTGTGTCATTTTTGGGTCTTCATTCCCAGATGCAGTCACCCACCTCCCCAGTGGTCCCTGTGGCTGTGACAGTGGCTGGTGACAATGGGGAGTGCAGGCTGGGGAAGGAGGATGCAGTGGTTGAGGAAGTTGTGCATGAGGAGAGAAGGTCTTCGGGGACACAACTTCATGGAGACACAATCCACGCCCGCGTGATCTACCTCCGAAGGTGCACAGTGCATGGATGCTAGTTTGTTCGTGGATGTGTGCTGCCGCCACAGCCAATCTGGGATCATTCTTGTCACTCTCAAAGAAACCAGGCAGCCAGCAGCTGCCCCTCCTACCTTCGCCCTGCTCTGTGCAGCCCCGGGTGCACCCGCTGCCTGGGAAATGTACTTCCTGCTAATTCCCCAGAGGGGCCCCTGGCCACCCCACTCAGATGCCAAGGCAAGATGGCAGGTGACTCGAGGAAGACGCCTGTCCCCAGACCCAGGGCCAGCACCCTCGGGCTCCCCCACACCCTCTCCTCTGTCCCCTGCCCTGGTTCCACTGTCTCCTGGGGCTGCGTGGGGGCCCAGCCAAGCTGGGCTCAGGTCCGGGCTAGGAGGTAGGCCAGGGTGGGGTGGGTGCTGCCCAGTGCCTGGGCCGGCTGGCCTTGCTGTTGCTGCTCTAACCGCTAGGAGCAGCCTCCCACCTGGCTTCTGGCCGCTTGCGCTGGGCTTCAGGGAGGAGGGTCGCGGCCCGTAGTCAGTAGTTGGGGGGTGGGAACGGCTTCATACAGGAGTTGATTGCACAGTTATTCAGCTCCTATATGATGCCTTTCTTCATCCCCTTCAACCACAAGCAGCCCCCGGACCCTCCTCTGCACCCTCGGCTGCATGGGACGTGTCCTCCAGCTTGCGGCTGTCCTGGCGTGCTCTGTGGGCTGGCTCTGTCTCTCTCCCTCCCTCCCTCCCTCTCCCTCCTCCCCGGAAGCTCCCCAAGGTCCTGGAGGGGTGGGCCTAGGGCTGGGCCATGCCTGAGGTCCCCTCTTTGGAGGGAAGGCTGTGCTCCCAGTGGGACCCCTCCGGGGGCTGGGCCCAGGGTCCCCCTAGACCCTGCAGAGGCAGAGCCCCACCCAGCTGGGGTTGTGCTGTGCCCACAGGGAGCGGTCCAGGAGACCCAGCTCACAGGACGGTGGGCAGGCAGGAGAGGCGGTCCCCTTGGCGGCGTCCCTGAGGAGGGTCTCCTTGAGGGGTCTCTGCCTCCACCCAGGACTTTCTCATGACCAGGAGGCTGAGGCCCCGCATAGGCGGCTGCTTACTCTCTCCTTCCAGAGTCTCCCCGTCAGCCCCACGCCCCTAAACCTGGGTCCACAGCAGCTGTCTGCAGGGACCCCATTCTTCCTCTTGCGCCCTTGCCCAGGCTGGTGCTGCCAGGCACCAGCGACATGGGTGGCAGCCGGCGTCGCGCCCTCTGTCTCTTGCCTCCCCCACCCACGCAGGCCCTGCATGGCAGAGGGGACCCTGGCGTCATTAACCGCATAACCAGCCAAGGCAGCCAGCCCAGGCACAGAGGGGCACTGGGTGGGGTGGCCGAGCCTACTGCGTGGGGCTTTAGGGTGGGCGAGAGGAACCTGCACCCTGCCGTGCCCTGCCTGTCCCCCCATCCCCTCTGAACCCCTCCTTCCCCCCTCCCTGCGCTGTCGGGGACAGAGTCCGGAGGAGGCTGGATTGTCTGGGCTGACGGCACGCGTGACGTGCGTGGGGCGTGCCGAGCGCGCCCAGGGCCAGCGCACCCACGGGCGAGGGGTGGTGGGAGTGGGTTGGGTGCCGGCTTCCGTGGCCGCTCTCTCCTTTTCACTGGGAGCACACCAGGTCCCTGGGTGGGCCCAGAGGGGACCGCCCGCCTCTGCCCTGGCCGGACTCTCGGGGTCTGGCAGAGCTCCTGGCACAGGGCCCTGCGTCAGGGTCCCCTCATGCACCCGTCTGCCGGAGGCCTGGTGCGCAGGCCGGAGGAGCAGTAGCCCGGGTGCAGGTGAGTGGTGGCGCTGTGGGTTCCAGAAATCACCCGGTGTGTGCCCAGCAGCCTTTGGGTCATGATGAGGGGTGCCTGAGGCGGAGGTGACCAGTGGTCCGCCCAGGGGTAGCTCCGGACTCTCCTGGGCCGCGGGGCACTGTCGAAGCTGGCTGGGTGTCCGCGGCCTGGGCGGGGGACACGGGCTCCCGGTGGAGGCGGTGGCACCGTGCGCCGAGCTGGTGGGGCGGGCGGCCCAGGCTGCAGCTGCCTTCGCGGTTCTGTGGTGGCTGCAGGGTCCTTGCTTAGCAGCCCTTTAACACCAACTTCTCTTTCTCCTTCCCTTCCTCCTTTTGTTTTTTCAGGAGAAATAAAGTATGTATTGAGTCTTTTAAAACTTTTTCTCCTCAGGAAGATAGGGGCAGACTAACCTGGTGCTTCTGCTTTGTCAGTCGGCCTCGGCCTAGTGACCAAGTCCCTGGATGGACGGGGCTGATGGTGCCACAGTTAGCAGGTGAACTGGTGCCCTGGTGCCGAGTGCGTGCGTGTGTGCTCTGTGGGTGAACATGCCCGCCTTCGGGGGCGTCCGCTCCCCCTGCAGGGCGGGCTTGTTGTTTGGTGACTGCTCCTGGCTTTAGCCGAGCAAGGCTGGGTGGGCACAGCTTCTGGGCCGGGGGGCACAGGGCTCTCCCTTCACCCCACCTGCACCCAGGGAAGCCTCTGGGGTCCCCAGGAGTGGCCTCCATGGGACCCACGTTGGAGACTCAGTGCTGGTCTCGCCCCCACCCCCAGGGCCCAGGCTCCACCCATAGGAGGCCAGGCAGGGTGCAGAAGTGTTGTGAGGGGCCAGGGGCCCTTGGTGAAACCCCACCTTCCCTTTGATAGTGGAAAGCAGCTGGCAGGTGGATGGCCTCTCCCTGAGGGCACCCAGCAAGGCAGGAGCAGGGTCCCCCATGACCAAGTCACTAAGGGTGGCGCCCTGTGGGTGTGACCCATGCTGCCCGTCTTAGGGCTGCTGTTGGGGTGAGTGCCAGGGGACAGACGGGGTGATAGCCCAGGCCCCTGCAGCTGCTGTGATGCCAGCAGGTTGTGGGAGTTACTTGCTGGGCCTGTGACCCCAGGTGGCACAGATGGTGTGGCCCTGTTGAGAGGGCAAAGGCCACCAGGGAGGGGCCCAGTCCTGGCTCTGTCCTCAGCTCTGCAGCCCTCTCTGGGCCTTGATGTCCCCAAGTTCTTTCTGGACAAGGTGGGTGGAGAGTGGGAACTCCGAGTGTGGGCTGCTCCCAAGCTTACTTGTGAGTTCTTATAGCAGCCCTCATGGGTCTGAGGGACAGATAGGGAAACTGAGGCTGGGAGGGTGGCTGGTCAGCTGGTGGCCAGGCGGGGCCATAGGCAACTTCCTGAAGCAGCAGGGCAGAGCCCTGAGGTGAAGCTGAGCCCCTGACCTTAAGCCTGGAGACCCTGATGTGATCTCTGGATGCTGTGTCGGGGGAAGGGTCTTCAGACAGCCAGGTGGGTGGTGAGTGGCAGCCAGTCACCCCCAGGGGCCGGAGACCAGCCTGGGGTTCCTGCCCTTGTGTCCAGTGACTCTGGGAGAGGTGGGGTAGCTAGGTAGGGCCAAGGCACTCCTGGGCACGGAGAAGGGCCCTCCCACAGGCTCCCTCCTGCTGGGTGGGGTGGGGAACAGACTCAGGGACAGGTCCCGGGCCTCCTCGAGTGGAGGCCAGCCGGGTGTGGTCCCGGCTGGGGTCCCTGTGTGGAGGGGTGGGGCAGGCCGGCACACTCTGGGAGGTCAGAGGTCACCCCGATGGGGGATGTGGCCAGGCAAGGGTGGACAGGAGTGGTGGCTGAGTGTCACCTTTCCTGCTCCCCTGACTTGGGGTAGCGGCCCCAGGGACTCAGGCCTTCTTCATGGGGGTGGGGGGGTCGGAAGTGTGGCAATTTCTGGAGCCCAGGCTTTCGGACCAGCCTGGCTGTGCCACATCTCTCATGTGACAAGAAGCCTTGGGCCAGAGGGAACTGGGGTTCTGGGTACCCCTCTCGAGCAACAGCAGCTCCCAGCACCCTTGAAGGCCCCCTTCGGATGAGCTAGTGGGGACCAGCCCATGTGGGAGTGGGGTGCTTCCCCAGGGGAGGGGAGCCTCGGGGTCTTGCGGGCACCTTCAGAGGAGCCCTGATGGGCCTGCACTGCCCACCCTTCCCACCTGCTTGTCCCTCTACCACAGCCTGTCCCCTCCCCTGCCTGTCTGCCTCCACCTGCCCCACCTCTTGGAACAAACCACAAAGTCAGATTCTCTTGTTTTGCTTTATTTTCAGGGTGGGAAAGAGCGAGGTTGGGTCTCCTCCCCATGGCAACAAGCGGGGTTCGGGTCGGAGCACCTTGGCCCCTCGCACCGGATGCTGGGCGTCTGGCGCCTCCGCAGTCTCCCGGGTCCCCTCCCTCAATGGCAGCTCGAGGCTGCACAGTGTCCAGTGTCCATGCTGGCAGGGGAGGGGAGCCCGCTCAGTTCAGCTGCCCACTGGGGAGTCCCTGGGCCTTGGGGACGTCAGGTAAGAGGCACTGGCACGTCGGACACTCTGGAGTGGCAGTCAGTAGGACAAGAGCTCAGGGTCAGATGCAGCCATGTGGAGGGAGTGGAACCACACGGTGGGGTGGGCTTGCTTGCGGGGTGGGACAGGGTGGTGGGTGGCACCACACCAAGGACCTCGGGAGGTTGGGAGAGGGTGGGGTGGGGCCCAGGGGAGCAGAAGCACCGAGGCGGAGGTCGAAGAAGTCCATGGAGTGCCCAAGGTCAGTGTCCCAGGATGCACGGGGGTTGGGGTCCCAGCATCTGCTTGCTTGGCTGCACCTGCTGTGTTGCTGCTGCTGCTGCATCTGGCCATGGGTCATGGGGTCATCTCTGCTCATCCCTGCACTCTCCTCTCTCTGATTCACTCCCAGTTCAGGGCCTGGGACCTGGAAAATTAAGATGGGGTTGTGTTGTAGCCTTGAGCTAGCTCTGGGTCTCTGAGGGTTGGATAGCCCTTTAGCACAGATGATGCTGTTTGATGAATTGAAGAAGTTTTGCCCTTCACAAGTGGGTTCCCCTTGGGTCAGGACTGGCAGGAGGGGCCACTGGGTCTGCGAGAAGCTGGCTGAGGCACGGGGAGGTGGCGGAGAGGTTGGCAGGTGCTGGGTCAGAGAAGGAAGGAGAGGCCTCCTGGCTGGGGAGGAGGTATCTTCAGTCAAGGTCGTCATCTTGGAGGTCGGGGAGCTCTTCCGGCTCATTTCTCCCCGGGGCTGGTCCCCAGCAGCGGGAGGGGCACGTGCCAAGTGAGTGTAGATGGTAGTGAGGAACTCGGTCAGGGCCTGGGCCACCTGCTCCCTGCTGAGCAGGCTAAGCCGGCCATCCAGTCCGGACACATAGAGCAGGCAGCTGTTGAGGATGTCAAGGACATCGGGCTCCATCAGGTTGCATGGGGGGGAGTGGGGCCTGGGAGAGGCACAGTGTCTCCTGCACGTCGTTGTCCTGCGCGTCCTGCGAGGTGTCTTGCAGGCCGTCATGCAGGCCACACTGACGGTAACGTTGCAGGTCGTCTTGCAGGGCTTCTCGCAAGACGACATCCTCATCTCCAACGACGTGCAGCTCCAAGTAGCGGGGGTGGCGCAGAGCAGGGGGGCCACGCTCTGCGTGCCTGACCCTGACACCAAAGAACTCACAGAGCATTAGCCAGAAGCCAGGAGTGAAGCGCAGGCCCCAAGGGGGCAGGGCATTCAGGGCATTCTGCTGCCAGCGCTGGGGGCCCAGGAAGAGGTCGGCCAGCTCTTGGGGTGGGATAGGGTTGGCGCCCACAAAGGGTGGCAACTGGCTGAACAGCTGGGTGATGGCTGTGGCCATGCTGTTGCTCACGGTGAGGGAGAGTGGAGTCCAGAATGAGGCGCCGGGAGTGCCGCGGCTGGGGCCAGACCACCTGCATGGGAAGGGTGGGCAGCAGCTCGGGCTGCTGCCTCATCTCCAGCATCACCAGAAGGGATGCGGGTGCCAGGAGGCTCTTCCAGTGCAAGATGCCCCGGAAGAAGTACAGCACAACTGACCAGATCTGGGCCATGCTGAAGTTGGCCAAGAAGCTGTTGAAGATGTGATCAGTGGGTATGAGGGCCGGAAGCTCCTGCCGTAGGCTCGGCTCATTCAGCCCGTCCTGCTCAGACAGGTGGTCACTCTCCTCGGATTCAGAGTCGCTTGTCTCATCCGGGAGGCAACCCCTCGTGGCTAAGAAAAGGATTGGCCGAGCGACCCTGTTCCTGAGGGCTCTCTGATTGCAGCTTCTCCAGGCTGGCGGGGGCCAGCTGCTGTCCAGGACTGGCAACTCCACGATGTCAAAGTTGAAGTGAGAGAAGAAAAAGACCCAATGCCCGGGGAGAAGTACGGTGAGCCTGTCATTATTCAGAGAGGCTAGATCCTCTGTGTTGAGAAGGATCATGATGGGCTCCTCGGTGTTCTCCAGGTAGCGGCACCACACCATGAAGGAAGCCCGGATTGGAAGGACTTTCATCTCCACTGTGGGGTAGTCGATCTCCAGAGGGGAGAGGCTTCGGGAGTAGAAAGAGCAGGGGACTGTCTTGCCGGTGTCCTCATCGATTTGGATCAGGGAGGTGTGCAGAGCAGAGGTTGAGATGCCCATCTCCAAGTAGAATGGGTTCTGGGGCTTGGGGTGGTAGAGAAGGGGCACCCTGCGAAATGCCCTCTTCAGGCATTCCAAGGCCTCTTGCTCCTCATCTCCCCAGTGGAAGGGCTCAAAGCTCAGCAGCAGCTGCACCAGTGGCTCTGCGATGATGGCAAAGTGCTCCACAAAGTGGCGGTAGGGGAACATGGACTCAATCATGTTCTGGAGCTCCTTTCTGGATCTAGGGTTACAGTAATCCATGATGACATCTATGACTGCCTTGTTTATCTTCACCCCTTTGGGGGTCACGAGGAAGCCCAGGATCTCACCGCTCTGTCGGTGGAGCTGGCTCTTGGTCAGGGAGCAGTAGACTCAGTGGTGCCTGAAGCAGACCAGCACCTGGCGGACGTGCTGGATGTGCTCCTCCTGACACATTGAGTAGATCAGGACTTCCTGCCCAAAAGAGAGCACAAAGAAGCCTAGCATGTCCTTCAGGATGAAGTGAATCACGTTCTGGGGTATGATAGGGTACGAAGAGAGAGTAAAGGGCTGGTAGCTCTTCATGTCTTGCAGTTCTAAACCAAATGCTGCTTTCCATCTGTCTTCTGTTCGGCTTCTGTTCACGCCTTCTTCCACAATGGTCCCACGCAGCTCCAGTCTTGTGAACCATGTTGCTCCATGTAACTGGTCAAACAGTTCTGGAATCATCTGTATGTAGTCCTGTCTGTCAGTCAGCATGTCATGCAGATCCCAGTATTCTTCCAGCTGCCTGGCTTCTTGCATCCTGGCACCCACAGGTTCCCAAGGCACGGTAGAGGGACACTCGTAAAAGATCTTGCTGTGATCACTGTCTCCAGCCTGCTGAAGCTCAGAGGGCTCTGATTCAGAAAGATCATCGGATCCGTCTGAGCTTGGCTGGTCGGAAGTCTCATCATCTGCTTCCTTCGGGTTAAACACGTCGGCCAGGTCTGAATACAGGTGCGGCAGTCCGGGGAGCAGGCTCACACTGTGTTGTTCCAGTGCGATGCATGGTGGGGGTGGGCTGAAGCAGTTCTTCAGGCAGTAGGGAGAGTGGAAGGTGCAGCGGCCTTGAATCCAGTTGATGTCAGGGGCATGGAGTCGGAGCCAGTTGATGCCCAAGATCACAGAGAAGTTAGGTGAAGGTATGATGTCGAATTCGGTGGACTCCTGGTGATTCTGATGCCTGCACACCAGGGGTTCGGTGTAGAGCCAGACAGGTTCCTCGCCGATCAATGAGCCGTCCACAGTTTGAATCACCTCTGGGTAGGGCTTCTCATACAGCTCCACATAGTGCTCTTGGGCAAACCTCTCATCCATGAAGTTGCCTTCTGATCCCGAGTCAACCAGAGCTTGGACCGTGATGCTGTGGTAGGGACTCACTCTCACCAGAAGCAGCAGGAAGACGTGGGTGCGATTGATGCCTGGGTGGAACGAATAGGGCAGCCAGCTGCCCACCGTCCACTTCTCTGCCGCAGGTGAGTCCATCAAGCTCAGGTTCCATGGGCGGGCCTCAGGAGGCAGCCTGAAGATCGCGCTTCTCTCTTCCAGCTTGTCTTCTATTTGCAGGATGAGAACAATCAGGCTATCCAGGGAATCTGGCTGAGGAATCCGGAACAGAAAATGCCTGATTTCCTCATAGAGCCCCAGGCACAGGTGGGCCTGCAGGACTTCATCTGGCCAGCCTAAGGTGGGTATCAGACGCTGGAACTCAGTGATATGCTTGGTGGCAGTGCGATCCCCCTGCCTGATATTGAACATGGCCTCCTCTGCCACACGCCGTGTGTACTTGTACTCGAACACTTCTGACATGGCCTCCAGGAAGGCTGAGAAGTTTTCCAACCCGGGGCTATTTTGCTGGATCAGAGATTCAGCCCATTCCAGGGCAAAGCCAGAGAGGTGGTCAATGACATACTTCACTTGAAGGCGGTCACTGCAGAACGTTGTTCGGTAGCTTTGCAAGATCAGTTGGCAGAGCACAATGAACTCGTAGTATTCTCTGCAGTCACCTGAGAAGGGTTTTGGGGAGGGCAGTTGGCCATCATTGATCCCCTGTACCAAGATCTCTTCTGCTACTCTCTGTTGTTCATTGAGGTCTTGCATCTGGAAGTACAGAGAGATGATGGACCACATTGTGGTCCTGATGTCTTCAGAAGGACCTTCGCTCTGGGTCTCCTCTTCAAGGCTTGACCCTTCCGATGCCAGGTTAGTCATGTCGTCTTGATCTTCCTGGGATCCTAATGGGTTTACCGTTGTTTCTTCCGTCCCATCAGATACATCATTGAGTGGATCCTCCATTGCCTGGTGAGAACCATTGCATGACTCCTCCATGTCTTGGAGTAGGTCATTGGGTGGATCCTCTATTTCCCTATGTGGGCCACTGGATGGCTCCTCCATGTCTTGGAGTAGATCAGTAGGCAGCTCTTCTATTTCCTGGCAAGAGCCACTGGGGGGCTCCTTGCTTTCCTGGGCTCCGCCCTTGGCTGGTCCCGCCTTCTCCTGCACTGCATTGCCCTCCGTCTCCACAGTGGTGTTGGATGAGCCCTCAGAGGACTCCATTTGTTTTGATGATGGATTCTTACGCTCCATCATCGTCTCAAATGAGTCTTCAGAGGGTTCTATCATTTCGTCGATTGGAAGGAGAGTTTCCTGAAGATTGGTAAGGTCACGTTGCATCTGGTCAGTCACTGGGACCTTGGAGGTTTGGAGATCAGAACCTAAGGGCAGAGAGGGTGGGGTGAGGAGTGAAGGCACTAGGTTAGGGTCTCTAGAGGTCAGGGCCAGGTTCTCAAAAACAAATCTCAAGCAATCAGAACAGAGAGGAACCAGGGAAATCTTTCCTGTGTCCAAACTCCTCCTGGGCTGGCCACTTGGGACCTCCCCAGGGACACAAACTCAGTCAACCCTGAGCTGCCTCCTGGACATTTATCTGTCTGCCTGGCCTCCCTGCTTCCTCTATGGTGTGAGAAGTTCATAACCTATACATTTTGTGCAGCACCTGGCCCCAAGTGGTTGCCATGGCAGGATGCCCCATTTCTCTCAGGTCACGTACCTGGTCAATCCTCCTTCCTTTCTTTGGCCACCTGAAAGCCCCACATCACAGTGGCATTCAGATCCACCCCGGCTGGTGCTGTGCTGTGCTCTGGTGTGAAAGGGGGAGTTTCTAGCAAAGCACCCACTGTTTTATAAGTCGGTCAGAGCCAGAGGAGAAGAGGGGCACTTGGCCACTCTCCTCCCCATTGGGTCAGCATCGCAGAATGGCTCTTACTTCCCTCTCCAGGATCAAAAGATGTGGGAGAGAGACACAGAAGCCTGGATTCTGGCTCTTTTATTTTTTGCCCATACATGTTTTTAAAATTCCTCCTGTATGTTGGATACTGGCACATGAGGTACTGGATCCTGGGTCACACTTTTAGGGATTTATCTTTCTCAAGTTGGTCTTCCAATCTCATGGTGCTTCAAGCTCTAAGCTATGGTGGAGACTGTCAAACAGCCCAGGATCCCTACCTTGTTCTGTAAGTTTCGCAGAACTAACACATCTGGCCTCAATTTTGCACACGTGGACCTATTTGCACCCTCTGTAGTCCTTTCTTCCCAAATCCCTTTCTTCCAGGGCCAAGGCTGCTCTCGTCCTAGCAGATCTCCCTTATCTTTGTTACTGGTTGACCTCCCCCAACATAAGAGTGCCATGGAGTAGAGGAGGGCATGATACATCTTTGAAATCTGTTCTGGAGGTTTTGAAAATCTAGTGATCGGTGGTTTTAGTGGGTTTAGATTGAATCTCAAGAGGTGTCTGGTTTGGAATTATTTGCACATTTGTTTTCTGTGGGCCAGAGCAAATGGAGCTTTGGCTATTCAATAGATTAGCTATACAGTTATTTCTCTTTATAAATTTGACACCTTTTGTTATTTCTCAGTGTTTTTCTTAAAACCACTATGCTGATCTATAAGAACAGAATGCATCCCCTTATGTAAAACTTATTGGCTAAAATCCAAACTTTCCAACAGGATACAAAATTCAGATCTGCTGTTTCTCAAAGTTAAGTAACATGACACTTAAATTTGACCATGCAGTCCCTCTGATTAAAGTTTTCAATGTTTATTTACTGTCTGCAATATTGAATACAAACCTTTTAGAATAAACATATATGACATGTAAACTCACCAAAACCATTCTCTGGCTAAAATGTAAAGGGTGTAGCATAATATAGAATTCTGACGTATTATTCCCTAAGGTAGAGTTCACATTTTTTTGTTTTTTAGCATGGTACAAATTAGGTACAATCATCATCATCATCGAACCATATGCATGACACACTGAATAAATTAACTCATTTTCTCTTCATAAAAGTTCTCTAAGGTATGTATCATTTTAAATTTCAAGTCTCTAATAAAACTGTAGTTGAAATGCAAAATTTGTCTAAGTAACTCATCTGCAGACTCATCTATCACAGATGAAAATCTCAGCATGTCTAGCACTTAAAAATCTTTATTGGCTAAAATTTAAATTCCTTAGTAATATAATTAAAAACCCAGATTATACACCTTCTTGATATAAAATCTATACTTCATAAGAGATTTATGAATTTGATGTGTAGATGACTAAATCTTTCAACATTCCTGCCTTCAACCTAAACCTTCAACCATGGCATATTATAAAAATTTTATTTTAATACTTCTTAACATCAAAATTTAAATTTTTAGCAAAATAAATAGAAAATTATCCCATAATTCCACCATTTAAAACATATAAAATTTCCTCTTTTTTGTCTATGATAGGAAGTTCCAACCATTTAGAATAAAATAAAAAATTTTACTATGCATTTTATTTACCAATCAATCAATACAAACTCTACAACCTCCACAGACCACTCCTGAGACCTTTCATTGGCTTTAATTCCAGACCTCTTAGTATGCCATGAAAATTTGGCCATGTTATTTTCTCAACATAAAAGTTCACATTTTTTGCAAGGTACATGAATTTGCTATTGTAACTTCTGCCCAACGCTTTATGATGTTTCTGAATTAGCTCTGAGATGAGGTCTGAACCATTAGTATAAAATAATGTATTTCACTCTAATTTCTCTTCAGACTGCACCATCCAACAAAAACTACCATATTACTCTCTGAAAATCTCTTAATGGCTGAAATCCAAACTCCTCAGTGTGGCATAAAATGCAACCCTGTCATTGCTCCGAACTGTCTGAACTTCTGAGCATGCCGTGTCAATTTATCGTGTACCTTCTGTCTGTCTAGTCTTCAAATGACCCACCCCCTCAGCACAGCCCACACTGGGTGCCCTGTGCCAAAGGTGTGCTCCTGCTGTGGAGCGGTCATTGCCCATGTATCACCTGGCTCAGCAAAACCAGACACCTTCGCATAAAGCATGTTTTACCATCTAATTCCTCTGGAGACAAAACTCATCATTTCACACCTTAAACTCTGCTGGCTAAACTCCAGCACCTCCACATGGGGGTTCGAAATGGCATCGTCTCACTCTTCAAATCCGAGTATGCCAGTTCGATCAAGGCACACAGAAAGCCGCATATCTTCAGCACGTCCTACAAATTCAATCATATTATCTTTACTGCAATATCTACTCAGCCATGTCGCAGTGCCTACGTTGGAACATGATACACCTCAGCTTAAATTTTCCAAAGTTTCTTCATTGACTGAAACATAAAGTCTCAAGTACTTAACATAAAATGCATCATTTTGCCATGTAATGTATCAATCACCAGGCTGGTTTATGAAAAACCCCCGATCTTACCCTGTCACTCTTTTAAGCCCTTTATGGTCTTAAATCCAAACTCATTAGCATGATATAAAATTTGATCATGTTATCCCTTAAAATAAAATTTGCACTTCCTAGTACAATATATTAAACTTGATCGTGTAATTCTACCTTAAACCCCTATAATGTCTCTTAATTGTGTATGGCATAGAAGTCCAGATTCTTGGCATAAAGCATGTATTTTATTTTATAATTTCTCGGAGTGCTATTTATCAAACAAGAAAATTCACCATGTCACTCTGTTAGAACTTTTTATTGGCTAAATCAAATTCCCAGGCATGTGCAAGGATCGCGTCGTGTCCAGATCTCTAAATAAATTTTAAATTTCTCTGCATATTCACAGCAATGATCGTGTAACAGCTCCAGTTCTTTCAACTATGGTGTCAACACCAATCACATCTCGGCGGCATGCTCAGCAAATCAGACTTTGGTATTTCCCCAACTTACAAGGTCAGAATGTTTAGGTGTGAGCCTGTTTCTTTTCTAGTTACAGTTTTTCCATGTTTCCCTGTTGCTTGAAATATAATATCCAATGCTGTTAGCCATAAAATATAGTTTATCGTGTTTTCCTGCAGGCCTATCTTCCTAAACAAAAATCTCACCATGATATTTCTTAAACCCTTTGGTGAAAATCCAAACTCTCTAGCATGAGATAAAATTCTGATTCTTTCACCCCTTAAAATAAAAGTCCAGATTTCTTCCCATCAAGCCCAAATCTATTCATGAAACCCCCGGCTTAAAATCTTTTAATGTAATCTCATCATCCACGAAAGATCTCTGTGTCTTTTCAGGGTACCCAGTTTAACCTACCTTTCTCAACTTCAGATTTTTCAGGTTCCATGCCCGAGACGTAAAATCCAAATGTCTGAGCTTAAAGTGGAATTTAGAGCAAGTGTATCTCATGTTGAAAATCTTTAGGTTGCATTTTATTTGAAAGATAAAGCTTAAATCCCCTTGTGTGAAAAGAAAATTTTTAACTTGCGGGTTCAGTCGCTTGTGCCTCCTCAGGTTTTCTCTAGAAAGACCAGATTTCTCATCCCCTTACCTCAAACACATCTTGATCTTATTGTTTCCAGATATTTCTACTTGTGAAAACCGGTAATTAATTAGTTCCTACAGCAACACGTCTCTGTTTTCTTCCTGGGCCAGGCACGAAGCTAGGACCCCAGGTAAGAAGCAGAGGTGGCCCTGCCCTGCCCTGCCCTGCTGTCCTGGCCAGCAAGCAGACGAGGCCCACATCCTTGGGACTGAGGCCTGGCGGAGGTAAGAGCAGGTCTGGGGCAGGGCGAGGGCCCCTCTGCACCTCCTCTGAGACTCCTGTGGGTGGGCTGTGGGCATCTCAGAGCCTCAGCCCTGCGCCCAGTACTGCTGTGGTTTAGGGCTCCCTGTGTGGCCTCTGTCCAATCAGCCCACCTTGCCTTTCCTCTAGGCCTGCAGAACACATATGCTCAGTCCTTCAAATGCGTCTGTGTAAATGTTGTTCTCAAACCTCAGGACAATTTCTTTGAGAAATACTGCTACTGCTTTTGAAATTCCCACCTTGCCCAAAAGAAAGGAAAAAGAATCTGGACTTAGTGTTTGGGGTCAGAACTTCCCTTCAGGCCTCTGACGGGACCTTCTACCCCCCAACGCTCAGACAGACACCCCAGCCTCACCACCGCCAGTGCCCGGAGCCGAGGTCAGGTCAGCTCCCTGACTGCCTGTAAGCAAGTGGCCCAGGGGTCAGAGCTGCCAATGTGCGTCTCTGACAGGTGCTGGGCGGGGGGCAAATCCCTCTGTGAATACCTCTCCCTGTACAGTAAGGGAAATCTGATTTTAAAAATAGAGCTTGGAAGAGGAGATGAGAGAATATTTAGGAGCAGAGTTGAGCATGGGGCGTGGGGCGTGGGGCGTGGGGTGGGGGTGGAGGATTTAGGGGAGAGGTGAGGACAGGGAGGAGGCAGAGGGTCCCGAGGTCCCCCCGGCATTGGACAGGAGGGTAGAGCCAGTGCAGCGGGGAGGGAAGTGAGGGCAACACGTGGCCCCTACGGCACACTGTCCATGTCCCCTTCCTCAGCCCTGAGCACTTATGGGTCACAGCTGGAGCCCCGGGTTGCAAGATGGGTGTCAGGTGTGTTCCCTTGTCGTGCTGGCCTCCCAAGTGATGCTCAGAGCTACCTGACAGTGAGGTCACAGGGGCTAAGTGGCCTCTAAATGCACAAATCCCGATCTGCTGTCCGTCACCCTCACTGGGGCATGAGTGGGAGTAGAAGCAGCAGGAGGGGGTGGGCATGCCAGGGCAGTGCCTGGGCCACAGGGCAGTGACCTTATGAATTTCATTAGGCAGATGTCACGGGTAAGATGTGCCGTTGGAGAGTCCCAGTGTGCTTTCTCTGGTGGGGACAAGCTGTTGGGAAGGGTCCTCTTCTCGTTAGCCTGCCTGCTGGGGGTGGGAGACGATGCGTGGACTCATGGCTTCCCCGGATCTCTGTGAGGAGCTCGGCTCAGGTCCCCTGCCCCAGGGGCTGTGCAGGCTGCAGGACCAGCTGGCCTGGTACAGCCCATCGTGGGGCACGCCCAGCACCCTCTCCTTGGCCGTCCAACTCTGGCCTGTGCTTAAATTTGAGCTGGCCTCATGGGTGGGGGAGCCTTCGTATCTTCACCTGAGGGAGCTCATCTGTAAGTGTCTTCCTTTCCTGGTGACCTGGACAGAATCCTTGCGCATCAGGCCTCTGGGCCTTGGGTACCACCGCAGTGATGGGGGAAGTGTGTCCCGGAAGGGGCAGACAGAGGGCTGAGCCCAGGGCTTCTCCTGGGATCCCAGACTACGGGGGGAGGGGGCGGGGAAAGGCTTGCCAGAAGGGTTCCCAGCCCTCACTTCCCTACGCCCTGCACTAAGGACAGCGTGCATGACCCACTCAGTGTCCCTTTCCCTCCACGCTTGACTGGCAGCTCCAGGGGCAGCTGCTTCACTCTGCCCAGAATAACCCTGGGAGGGGGAGAGAGGTGACTTTGGGAGGGTCACAGAGGAGGGTGGCTCTCCGCTCTGGGCTGCTCAGATGGCAGAGCCAATCAGCTGCTCCCAGCCTGGACTTGCCTTTCAAGTCAGGGGGCAGGGACAGGGCCCTGACTTCCACCATGACCTTCCTCTCTGGGCCCTCAGTTTCCCCTTGAGTGGGTGTCTTCTCAGACAGGCACCTGCAGGCTGTTCCTGGAGAACAGTGATGAGGTGGGAGCTGGCTGAGCAGCTGGACCTCAGGACTCCCAGCCCTGCTCAGCTTCACCAGCTGCTGCTGTGAACAGGGATCCTAACTGTAGACCCCCTGTGTCCCACCATCTAAGGTGGGTGCAGGCTTAGACCACGTGGTTTCGCCTAGCATTGGCCTTGACCTTCTGCCCATCCATGTCTCTGGTGGCGGTGTGGACCCTTTTAGGTGGCTGTAGGCCAAGAGGCATGGAGGCCCTGGGAGCCTGGAAGCGGTGACTTCAAGGCCCCCCCCTCCTGGGGCTGGAGGATCTGGGGCCTGAGCAGGACCCTCAGTTCCACTATTTACAGAATGGAGGGGCCCTTCCTTCCCAGGAGCGCTTTGTAAACGTCAGAAGGCTCTGACCAATCCCGGGCTGTTTCTGTCATTAGGACTCATGATTATTGCTTTTAGAACATACACGATAATTGTAAGGGTCAAGATGTAGACAGCATTTCACGCATGGTATCAGCTTTAATTTTCCCATTAGTCCCACGAGGAGGTGAAGTCCTGCCTTGAGAGTGCGTATTGGGGAGGCCAGAGGGGAGAGGACCCCTCCGGAGCCCTGATTATTGGTGTCAACAGTGCAAGGACCCAGGCCTCCGGCTCCCCAGTGAGGAGCGGGTGTGGATGCCAGACACAATGTGGCTGCATCACACCCACAGCCCCCGACTGAAAGTGCAGCGTGCTCTGTGTCCCACACACCCTTGACCCTAGCCCCAAGCTCTCCTTGCTGAAGAGGTAGGATCCCCTGTTTGACGGAGTTAATCTGGGGGCAGGAGGCAGAGGCAGGTTCACAGCCAGATGCTACCCTTCCTGCCTGGTAGGTGGCTCAGGCAGGTGCAGGCGTCGGGGGTGGGGTCTGGGGGTTGTCATTTAGGGACCTGGAAGGACCCTTGTGGCCCAAGAGGGTAACTTTAGCCCTTGGTGTTCATGTGACCACCCTTGTGCCCTGACCAGTGCCCAGATCACAGGTAGGGGCCTCTATCTCCCCAAAAGTCTCCTGCTGTCACTGCCATCTCACTTGGGCTCATTTGGTGTCGGCAGAGAGACAAGACAGCTGGCTGGCTGGACCTGCTAATTATAGTGGCTCAAGTGTCTGAAGAGAGGTATTGAGTCCCCTGACCATGTCGTAGCTTTTCTTCTAACAGACAAACCAACCTATGACCTTTCTTCCCGAGAGCAGCCTCAGCCTGCACATGGCCCAGGCACCCCAGGAACCTGGTCCCCGTCCCCAGGGGGCGGCCAGCATGGGACCCCTCACCCCAAGTCTTACCTTGACTGTCAGTGTCCAAGCAGACCTCTGTCTGTTCTGCTCCGCTGGAACCGCGCTTCCCTCTAAGAGGTTATTGGGTAAATATAGTTTCATCATTGGGAAAGTCCAGTCTTCCCTCGCACACATTGTGCACGACAGCTGCCACACACAGCACGGTGATGGAGCTTTCCATCGCCCACGTCATTTCCCTCCGCCATATTTCTCCAGTGCTTCCTGTGTGCTGGGTCCTCGTGCCAGCACCTCCCCATGTCACTTCTTTCAACCCTTCACCCCATTTTTCAGAAGGGACCTGAGGCCCAGGATCACACCTCACTGTCCTAGCGGGGACTGAGCAGGACCTAGCATCCAGCTTGCTGCAGCTCAAGGGTCAGCCAATCCTCCACCTTCACCGATGACCTGTGTCCCACCTCTGGCCTCATTCTTGGAGGACCCCTTGTTTGCTTTCCAGCAAATGGATGTGAGGATGGGACTCTGAGGCCATCTCTAATCTCCCTGCGCCTCCCCTTCCTTCTCCCAACGCCTCTGTGGACCATGGTCCATGACCTCTCCCAGGCTGGTGTCCCCTCCTCATGCTGGGCCCCGAGCACAGGGACCCTGAAGTCTTCTGTCTGCCCTCTGGTGTCAGCCTATGCTCATGGCCTTTAGCCTCCTCCTTACCGGCACATAGTAGGGCTGCTGGCAGCAGGTGGGGCTCACAGCAAGGGCTGGGCCTGTGGCAGTCACACCTGCTGATGGTTTCTCTTCTCCCTTCCCAGAGGCCTGATGGTAAGATACCTGCCTTCTCTCAGGAAGGGAGCAGATGCCTGGCCCAGGATCAGATCAAAGGTCTGAAAAAAATCTGTTTTCTCCTCATGTGTCAATTTAGACATTTTGCAGATTTGTAAATTTCTTAGAATGGAACTAACCTGAGCTCTTTGTTCTACAGCTGGGCTCACTGCCCCCATTGGGCAGTGAGCTAGGGGGACCCCGAGGCAGCCCGGCCCCTCCCAGGATGGTTGCCCTCCTAGGCCGACCTTGGAAAACAGCACCCCAGACTCAGTATCTCACCAGGTATGTCTCTTTTACACTTGCCGCCTCTTCTGGGAGGAGTGGCAGGTTAGAGAACTCATCAGAATCCTGTGAGTGTTATGTGTCTGTTGTATGTGACCAAGGGTGCTCTTAAAATCTAGGACCATCATGCAGAGATGGTGCTGGGAGACCAGGCTGCCCTGCTAGGACACGTGGCAGTAACCTCCTTCCCCTCCTCCATGGGACAGGGACTGCAATTTTCAAGTTTTGCTTTGCCTTAAATGGAAAAGAATGAAAAGTGCCTGGCACAGGTGAAAGTGGCTCTTATTTTAGGTGGGCCTGTCCCATCAGGGTCCCTTTGAATTCAGAGGGAAAACAAGGGGGCCAGCGTGAGAAGGGCGCTGCAGGGGTCTTTTTCTAGCAGGGACCTGGCATCCCCTGGATTTGTGCAGGCCCTGTGAGGGTCGGTTGTGTGCATGCTGAATTTCCCTAGCTTGCTGTTTGGTCTAGGCATTGCATTTCATTCTTACTTATCACTAAGGTATTTTATTACGGACCGGAGCCAGTCTGTAATAGAATGCCATGTAACAAGTAGCAATGCCTCTCATGGGGCGTGGTGACGAGGGCCTGGGCATGCGGGCAGAGGACTAGTTAACCCATCTCACACTTCTCCGCCCCAAAGTCACGGTTGAAAATAGGCCTCTGCCTGGCAGAGGGGGAGTGGGTTCTCCAAAGGCCCTGTCCGCATGAATGCAGAGCGGAGACATTTAACCAATTAATCAGTTAGTGGTCTGTACGGATGGAGGCCAGGACAAAGCTGGCCTGGGCTGCAGGGCGGTGCTTTACAGTGGCTTTAGCTTTGCACACAGGGTCTCTGAGCTGCGAGTCTTTTTCTGCAGACGAGAGTGTAATCATTGCATCCTTGTCACAGCCTGGCTGAGTGCGCATTTAGGGATTCTGACAGCCTGTGACACCTGCAGGGGCTCTGGATCTTCGGAGCTGCAGCTTAGTGTGGGAGCAAGATGTGTGGTACCCTGGGGATCAAAGGGCTTTGGATGGGGGTCGGGGTGCAGCGTGTACCCTGGAGGTGGAGAAGAGCAGTGACCAGCGCAATCGCTGCTCATGCTGGAGGCGCTGCAGGTCAGCCCCAGTCCCCCTTGGTTAGCATTGGGAGTAAACCACAACTTCGTGCTCTGCCCGGGAATCCAGCAGCTCCTTGGCTGGCTCTTTGCCAGCAAGCTGGCCAGGCTGTTGACGCACGTGAGCTGCCATGTCCCTGTTCTCCAGAGCCCTGTGTTCCCTTCTCCAGAACCTGACTCATGGCACATTCCCCCAGAGTTCTCATTTCAGGCATCCCGTCCTCGAGAACATGGACCAGGGCATTAGCTTTCGGGGCCTCTTGGAGACCAAAAAGGAAGGCGCTCCCTTGTGGGTGCACTGTAGCTCTGACTGGTGGGCCGGGCTGGGAGGGATCTGGGGCTGTGGGTGGGTGGTGAAATCACAGCCCCAGGCGCAGCAGGCTGCTCAGGGGCCAGGGGCTCCAGCGTCAGAGTGTACGAAATTAAAAAAAGGGATGATAAAAACCTGAACCCCTTGTGTCTCTCAAATGTGCTTTGGACATATGTAACCTGCTTCTAATTCATCAGCTGAAATGCTGTTTGGATCTGTAAAAAATGACAACAAAAACAAACAATTCCCCAAACAAACCCCCCCCAAAAAAGCTCCCACGAAATGTTTATTTTAATTATACAAGAAACGCATTGATAATTAGTATACGCATTAGTAAAAAGCATACATGCAAAGGAAGCTGAAGCCATCGTTAACCCTTCCTCAACTGCAGCCCCCTCCCCCAATTAACTGTTGCGATCAGTTCCAGCTTCCAGTTATTTTTCCGTGCATTCACAGATGTGTATAAATACACCTCTAAAACATTAGTTTTGTTTCTTTTTTACACAATGTATAGCATAGTGTGCGTTTCCTTTCTCAGTTTGCATCAGCTTGTTTCTCTTCCCTGGAGGAGCTGCTCGAAGAAAATAAAGATCAACACCCTTCCTTATAACAGCACCTCAGTACCCAGTAATCTACACAGAGGGGAGCTTGTTTAACCACCTCGCTGCTGCTGCCTGGTCTGAAAGCCGCAGGTCCTTCCCTGATGGGAGCGGATTGGATTGTGGAGGCAGGTGTAAGTAATGCTGAGATCTGAATTTGGGGAGCGGGCTTCTCAGTGACATTATTACAAATGAATATATGAATGCATAAATTAGCAAAGTTAAAAGGGATATTCCTGGATCCAAGACGATAAAGTGTCTATTGTGATGAAACCAGTTGTGCACAAAATACTGAGGTCCATGAAAAGACAATAGGGCTCGGCTGTTTCATTCCTTTTAAGAGCTGTTTAATATTCCGGGGTACATGTGCACCATTATCGATGGCAGCTCCTCTATTGTTACAACCGCAGCTGTATATCCTCTGGGGCGGAGAATGTGTGCAGATAGAAGCTTTGATCAAAGTCCTAGTCGGCTGGGTGAGGTTGTGGGTTCCAGCGTGTCCATTGTATCATTTAAAAATAAAGAAATAAAAATGAGTACATAAATAAAAGGAAGTCTGCGGAGATTGGTGAGGAGGGCATGTCACAAACTGACATTTTAATTAATAGGATTCTGTTAGATTGATGCCTGATAAAACCGATCTGATCTGTTCCCACTCTTTGTCATCGCTAACCACTCTACAGAGAGCAGCATTCTCACAGCTAAATCAGTAAACACGGTCCTGATTGTGTCTACCTTAACTTCCTAGAGGTGGGCTGGCTGGGTTAAACGCTTTGTACAAGTGTATTTTCTTAGAGTGATCGTTCTAAAATGCCACTTTGACCTTGTGACTGTCCTCCCTTCAGCAGTCCTCCAACAGACTTCCCGAGCTTCCAGGACGTGATCCACGAAAAAAAAGCAACGAAAAAAATAGCCTTTGCCTGGCATAGAATTCCCTGAGGGTCTGGCTTGAAGTACACCCACCTCGCTCCAGCCCATTTCCTGCGAGGCACCCTTCTGTGTGCAACAGTTCACCAGGGCTCTGCTCCTGGAACTGCCACGCTCATTGATACCGTCATAATTTAAAAGAATACTTGCATTTTTCTAAACCTGATAACAGTGGACAAGTGTTCATCACTCGCTTTCCTTTGTCCCTCTCCAGAAGCCCCCTGAACCTGACTTGGTCTCACCGAGAGCCACCTTGCAGTCTCTCCCGGACCCGCGGTCATGTCAGAGGTCCTGTCACCTGCACCGTGGTGCCCGTAAGTCTGCCCATCCCAGCAAAACTAAGCACACGTGCCTTCAGGGGAGGGACAGGCTGCCACCCCCCTGCTCCACATTGCTCTGGGCCTCTGGGTCACAACCTGGGGTCACGGGCCAGGAGGCGGAGGCACCCCAGTGTGGGGAGTTCTGTGATGCTGGTGCATAACAGCAGCCTGGAAACGGCTGGCTCTGTCTGCCATTCCCACTCAACAGAGGCAAATAAATGGATCTGCTGCCCTTGCTGGAGAGGGCGATGAGGGCGCTCTGGGGCAGGGACAGGGTGGAGAGCAAAGTCTTCTCCCTTTGGAACAGAGCAGAGGGGCTCAGGGGCTGTGATGCTGCATCAGTTTGGGGCAGAGGATTCCATCTGCAGGGGAGGGCACGGGTCTGTGCGTGTCTGTGTGTGCATGTCTGTGTGTGTGTGTGCTGGGGGAGAATGAGAGCCACCAGAAGTGTTCAGGGTCTGGTCCCCTTTCTTTCCCGGGAGACAAGTGGGAGGGGGCCAACAAGCCAGCCATCCCAAGGGCTAGCCCTGCTATAGAGCTGTGTGTCCTTGGCGTTTCCCCAATTGTTTCTGTGCCTTGGCTTCCTGGTGAAAGAAAGAAAGAAAGAAAGAAAGAAAGAAAGAAAGAAAGAAAGAAAGAAAGAATCATAATCTCCCGCACACAGGGCTATTGAGATTTCAACGAGAAAATCGTGCAGATAAATTATCCCGCACAGTAGCTAGCACAGAGCGCCCGCAAAACCATTAGCGGCCGCATCTCATCCATCCCACGGGCCCCGCCCGCGGCAGAGGCCGCCCCTCCTTTTCAGAGCTGAAACCAAAGCGGAAAACAAAGCGCCAGGGAAGACGCGGGGAAGTAAGGTGCCCCTCTGCGCCCTTCGCGGACACCCCCTGCCCGCAGCACACGTGTGCCTTATCCCAGGCACCTGGGGTCCGGGGAAGGGGCTCCCCCTGCCACTTTGAATTGGGTTCTCCGGAAAAGTTTGGTGAGAGTTTAGTTTATTTTTATGTAAATACGTGTATAAAAAGTCAGGCTGCTCTCAGGCAGGGCTTTTAGGCTCATGTTTTATAGGGTTTGGCACGGCCGATGGTTAGGAACAGAGCGGTCTCCAGGGGTCAGGATTGCTGGAGAAACTCCTGGCTCCACTTGAGCTCGCCTCGGGCGCGGGCTTGCGAGCGGCGCAGCTCACTCCTCCCTCCCGGGCTTCTGGTTTCTCTACTCCGAATCGTGAGCCTGGTGGGGCACAAGTCCCACGGGGCGCTTATCTGCGGCTGTGGTAGCCCTGCCCGGCTCTGCAGTAGCGTGGGTGCTGACTGCTGAACCCCATTTCGCAAAGCCCCCTGAGCCTGAAGCAGAAGGAATCACTGGCGGCAGGCAGCAGTGTCCTCTCCCTGCCTGGCAGGGGCCACAGGACTCCTTACTCTCTGCTCCTGGTCTGGGATTTGGGGAAGAGGCATTTGAAACTCTCACCAAAGCTTCTCAGAGCCCGCCCCATCCCTAGCAGAAATGTTTCTTCTCAAGTTCCACACGTGGGCGCCTTCGCCTTCTGCGTCCCCTGCGCCCCCTTCCCACGCGGTGCCGCAGGGGCGCTGGCGCACTTGTAAACGTCATGCTTCCCAACACGTCCACACCCAGAGTTTGAGATCAGTCCTTTAATATGTCAAAAAACAGCAGCACCCACAGCAGGACAGCAAACCCCGAGGCACTCCGAAAGCCAGCGGGGTGGGCGGCCAGGGTTGGCCATCTGGGGCCCAGGAGCTTCGGAGCTCTGGTGCCCCCACTCGGTGGGCCGGAGCCCCAGCTGAGCCACCCGAGCTGACTGACGGCTGTCAGGAACAGGATAATTAGGTGCCCAGGGCCCAGGGTCCTTTTCCTCAGTGACTGCCCTGCTCGAGATCCTTTTGCCCCATGGGGTGCGTCCCTGCCCCTGCAGATCAGCCAGAGCCCCCAGGACACTTCATAGACAAGAGACCCCAGCCGGCCTCGAAGCTGCCCCATGCACATTCATGTGCACATGCTCGCACACACATTAACACGCTGAGGGCCTGCATGGGAACCAAAGGCCAGAAACCCCTTTAGAAACTGCACAACACAGGCTGGTCTAGCAGAGGTCCTCACAGAGGCCCTGGCCACCTGCAGCCCCTGGGAACCAGACCCCGAGAATGGGCAGGAGAGGCAGCTCTCCGTGCAGGCAGACGTTGAGTTCACGCACATCAGGACCCTCAGCCCTATGGCCTGGAGAGGGGGCTTGCACAAGTCTCACCCCTGCAACCAGCTGCCCCTGTGGCTGTGCCCTGCTTTTCCGTGCCTGGCCAGCACCTCAACCTCCCAGCCTCCTCTCTATTTCCCACACCCACTTTGCCAACCTGTTGCCCCATTTCTGGGCCAGGGAGTGGGGTGGACAATTTGCCACTCCAGGTGGCTGGCCCCTAATAGGGGAGTTGGCTGGGGGGCAGCCCCCCTTCCCCGAGCAGCAGCCTCCATTACTGCTCCTCTCCCTCACTGTTGGGACAGAGCACTCTGCCAATCGTTCCTGTGCCCTTGCTGTTGAACCTGGGGCAAAGCACACCTCCAAGGTCAGAGTCCTTTCGAGCTCCCTCTCCTCAGTCCCCCCACCGAGAGGCTCGCACACCAAGCCCTGCTGGCTTTCGCATCTGCCTCTGTGGCTCCACAGCAACCCTTGCCCCTTCTGCCCTCAGATCTGTGCAGGCAGCAAGCTCACAATCTCCAGAGCCCTCACAGCGTGGGAAGAGACTTCAGACCTCCACGCCTGTCCGAGGGACCTCTCTCTGGGTTGACCTGGACAGAGCCCTTTGCCCTGTTCTGACAGAAGCCCAGGGAAAGAGCACAGTGCTCACCTCCTGAGCTGCTCTGTATCTTATCTGTTCAGCAGCTCTGAGTCCTCCTGGGTTTTTTTACAGCCCCTTCACTAGTTGCCAGGGAGAAAGCTCTCTATGCAAAGCCTCCTGCCTTTTCCGCGGGAGCCGTTCCTGCCTGGCCTTGGGCAGTACACTGCGGCAACAGCGCAGGACTGGGGGCTCCCAAGCCAGGCAGACCTGCTTGATTCCGGCTCTGTTAGCTGTGATACCACAGCAAATTCCCTTTACTTTCCAGAGTCTGGATTTTTCCCCTGTGAAATGGAGATGAGAGAGTCTCTCTCCAGCTTGAAGTGAGGGTGCAGTGAGATAAGAGTAGCCCCGCACACATCAGACACTTCATCAGTGCTTGTGGAGTTGACGGTAGGGCCAGGGGAGGGAGAGACTCATGTAATAAGTGTCATAAAAGAAAGCAGCCTGGCCTTCCAAGACCTTGCACTATGCACGCGAACAGAGCCTCTCCTGGCAGAGGCCCCTCTGCTGGCTAGATCTCACAAATCAAGTCAGCCGGAGGCAGCCCCTGGCCTGTGGAACTCACAGTAGATGCAGCAGGTGGCAGAAATGACATGCAGAGCCCACATCTGCATTTAATAGACCAACAATTTGCATTGTGTATCATAGCACCCACGGTAGAGCAGAAAGGCAAAAAGGAACATTTCCCCTGCCACTTGCTTGCAGGGCCAGCTTGGGGAGGGGTCCAGGCATTCCCTAGACTGGGGACCAGCCACCCTCCATGCATTCATCCTTCAGACACCACAGGGCACCTACCTTCCCTGGGCTTGGACCCAAGAGAGAGTGGAGCTGGGGATGAGGAGGTGCCTGTCGGCTTCCTGTCCCCAAAGCTCTGTAGGTCTGTTGGGTCTGTTGGTGGAAAGCTATAGGGGACGAGTCACTCCAGATGAAAGGGATCAGGGTGGTGATAGCAGTTAAGTTCCAGAAGCCCTAAGCTGGGCTTTCCTGCCTAGAACCCGATAAGCCCGAGCCCTGGTCTCAGAATCCCCATTTGATTGATGAAGAAACTGAGGCACAGAAAGGGAAGACCCATACTTACAGTCTCAGCTGGTGCAAGGCTGGATGGGATGGAACCCAGGCTCTCTGAGGCTCCCTACCACAGCCTGCAGCTTAAGACTGCTCAGCGAGGCTGTGCAGAGTGCTGGGGGGTGTGGGTGGGCAGGGGCTGGATTGATCAACTGATCAATAAGCACCTACCAGCGGTGCTTGAGCTCCTAGCTCCTCTGTGGCCCAATCCGTTTGAAGGGCAGGTTCAAAGTTAGGTGTCAGCACCTATGGGCAGAGGCTTATGAAAGTGGCATCAGTAACCTGCCGTGGAGAGGGCTCTGCCTGGCTGCAAGAAGATTGCAGGTGCAGATCGAGGGGCTGGGGTTTGTTTATGTGGCCAGAGTCGGAGAGCATGGGGAACATCCAGAGGCGCTTGGGGAGCCCAGTGGAAAGACCCAGTGTTGGAGGGGTTGAGGCTGGATGCCTGGCAGTGGGCCCCTCTTCAAGGCAGCCCCTGGCCTAAGGGGAGTGCCTCCAGCTCCGTCCCACTGGTGGGCAGAGGGTCCCCAGCCCTTCCTCTGACCTACACAGGGACCACTAGCCTCTCTCACCTTAGATTCCCACCTGTGAGCTAGAGATGGAAACCAAACGTCATCACTGGCAAAGACCCTGTTCCCACAACGTCCCCTGGCAGCTGCCAGACATCTATCTGTCTGCTTGTCACAGCAATATTCAACAGGAGAGTTCCCTTCTTCCAGCAGGCAGGAGGGAGAAGTGTGGATGGGGAGGGCAGGAGAGGTGTCCCGACTCAGAGCAGCGGGAGAGTGGAGCTCTGAAGCTGGCAGGACTTGGGCCACTGAAGATTTGTGCCAACTCACGGTGCGGTGGAATCACAGTCTGAATTCTTCAGACACCAGCCAAGAGTCTGTGGCGCCCCCAAGTGCCACAAGGGGGCTGCCTGGGCCACATTTTGGAGTCCATGGGAAAGTGAGGAGGGGGAGACGTCAAGAGGGACTGGAGCTTTTGGCTTTGGCAGTGATGCGTTTAGTCCTACTGGCAGACGCGGGTGTGCAGGCAGGTGGCGCAGCTGTGTCCTGGGCAGGGGGCGCCCTGGAGGGCAGCCGGAGACTCTCGCGGTGGTGTACGCAGCACTGACCCTCTGCCGCACTGCCCAGAGGGTCGGAGCTGTCCGGTGGGTGTCGCTCCCCAAAGTGGGAAGGGAGGCTGGAAGCAGCGCTCTCGGGAGGGGCGCGGTGGCTGCGCGCACAGGGAGGCGGAAGTGCAGGGGCCAGGACTCCACTTGCTGCAGAAGCGCCAGGGAAGTGCGGACAAGGAGGGCACAGCTGTGGGCGCGGGGTTCAGGAGGACCAGGGGCAGGTCCCTGCTGCACCGTGACTGACAGCACAGAGAAGGGCTGAGAAGCCTGGAGCAGCTTGACCCACAGTTTTAGGGAAATAAACACCAATTCTTGTACTTCCAAAAAGGCTAAGCAAACAAAAAACCAAAAAAACAAAAATAAAAGCAAGAGCAAAAAGACATTGGAAAGGTGGACAGCAGAAAGCTTCCCAGCATGGCTGTACCCACCACTCCAGGATCTTCTTTGAAGCGTGTCTTGAAGGCTGACAGCGTTGTCCTGGTAACCAAAGTGATGCTAGCATCAGAGCAAAGGATGCATCAGGTGGCCAGCGTGCTGTGAAGGCAGAGACGCCCACAGACGCTCTTTGAGAGCCAGGGAAGGTCTGAGGGCTGCTTTTTGCCAGGTTTGCCAGCAGAGAGCTGGATTTGGGGACAGCTCGTGGGTGCTGTTCCCCTTAGGACAGGTCAACTTGGAGTGATTCGCCCTTCTGGCCACTCTTCTGTGTGAATCCGCCCCTCACACTCCCCAGCATTTACCTTGGACCCTACACCCCTTTGTTTTCAAATCCCCCCTCTGCCGCACCTGCTCATCTCCTGTACGTTTCTTTACTTAGAGATTTAAAAAATCTAATATGGGAATTGAAGCAACACAATCATAGATGAAATAATGCACTCCTCAAAAATCACAGTTCTAAATGCTATCCTACCAGTGCTCTGACAGAGTCACCATTAAATCCTGGTCCCTCTTGTTCCCTGTAAACACCAAACCATAGCCCCCTTCTCCAGCCCACTGAAGGAACGTTTGGAAACAATTTCCAGACATTGTCTTGGATCCTCTGAACATTTCTGGAGTATGTTTCTCTAAAAAGGAAGGGACTCTTTTCTTTCATTGAAAATATAAGCATGATGCCATTATCACAATTAAAAAATTAACAGCCTTTCCTTAATGTCATCCAACCTCTATTCAGCATTCAAATATTCCTGAAGGAATCATGATGCTTTTATAGTCGGCTCGTTCAGATCTGTGTCCAGACTATTTCCTGCACTTCCAAAGGGCTCATGGGGGTCTAGAAAGGTGAGTGTGGCTATATGTTCAGGGGTTTGAACATGAGCCCAGACCTCAGATCAGAAACACAGCCTCACCAACCTGTTTTCTCATGGGAGTGGGCAAGTCATGGGCATCTCCAGGGGCTCCTGCAGGTTGGAGACGACACCTGTAAAATCCCTGGCCCCTGTCTCATACGTGATACACTCTCAGCAAACGGTTGCTTGCTAGAATTTTTTTCCCAGGAACTTCCAAAGCAGAATTGGGCTGGGGTAAAAACAGCTGGCCATTGTCCACTACACAAAGGCTCCTGGTAGTCCAGGGCTCCTAAGAGTATGTACACCCCATCTCAACACGGGTGGCTGCAGTCTGCTTGGACCTCGCAGCTTCCCACTCAGCTGCCCAGTAGCAGACTCTGGTGATCAGGGACCAACAGGGGAGTCCCGCAGAGTGCCAGACCACTGGGTGGTGCTCTCTGCTGAGAGTCCAGGGCCATCAATACCCCACACTGCTCTGGCCATGGGGGCTGCCGGGGAGTGCACACCATTACAACACTGCAGACTGTTTCTGAGAAGCATTTCTCAACACAGCGGGCAGGTTGCAGTAGTTTTCTTCCGACATAAATCCCAGCCCGATAGCAGAGGCAAAGGGAATGAGCATTTAAAGACAGTTTGCTGAGGCCAGACACTGGGATGTAAATGCTCTGTTTGATCCACAGCCCAGCTATACCTCCTGTCTCTTTACAGATGAGAGGGCCTCGGGAGGTCAGTGACTCATCCACAATGGGCCAGAATGCAGGACCTTGAGTTCCAGCTCAGGTTTGTCTGATTCCTTTGTCAAATCAAGAGGTGGATTTTGGTAAGACGTGTGCTGGAGAAGTGCAGATGGGTGACCGGAGATGGGTGAGAGAACAGGTCGCCTCTCCCCAAGATCGAGGCCAGGTGGCCTGTCCTGATTGGGCACACTGACAGCCTTGGGTGGCTCTGTGACAGCAGGTGGGCAACCAGGGTGCAGGGACCAAGTCCCAGCTGTGGGCTAGAGCAGGTCGGTTCTGGCAGCTCTCAGTTCCCGCTGCTTCTGCACAGCACTGGCTGTTCTGGACAACTGCACCCTGAGCCAGGCCACATGCCCAGCCCTTCTCTAGCATTTGGTGTTATTTTATCTGCTCTAAGTCATCCCTGTGGTCACAATTGCTGTCTTCAATGAAGAGACAAGGACACTTAGGTTTGGGAATGACAAGGACTTGCCAAAGTCATATAGGAAGTAAATGCAGACCCAAGATTTGAACCGGGTCTTCTTCCTTTTAAACCCACCCCTTTGATCTATATCCTATGTTCTCTGTCTCTGTCTTTCTCTGTCTCTGACTCTCTTTGTGACAGGGCTTCACAGTGTAACCCAAGGTGGCTTTAAACTCTCTGTGTAGCTGAGTCTTAGCCTCCCAAGTGCTGGGATTACAGGCTCTACCACCACCGGCTCCTGTTTTCTTTGGCTGTGCCTGAAAACACTCTGCACCCCCTCAGGGGTCACCCATGTTCACCCTCGTGAACTGCATGTGTCATCCAGTCAACTCCTAGTTTATTTCTCAAGTAACTTCTTGTCTAGTGTATCCTGTCTGCCACCATCATGCCAACAGTGGCCACACATGCCATTGGCATTTCACAGTATAATTAGTTCAGGCAAATTAGATTGCTGACATTTAGTATTCTGAAATGCTAGCAGAAGCATATGTGGACACGACCGCAGAGCCCAAAGGGTGTGGGGCTAGGAGGGAGGGGTCCAACAGAAGCAAACCCGAAAGTTTCCTCCAGAACTGCCTGAGATTTAACAGGTACATTCTGAGAACCTAAAGGGCAAACTGTTCCACACATCCCAGAGGCTGAGATTTCAATTCCAGCTCTGCCATTTACTGGTTTTTGAGTTTGGACAAAGCATTTCACCTCTGTGCCTCAGTTTCTTCGGTTGTAATATGGAAATCCCAATAGGTTCATATTAATGGGTCATGGAGGAATAAATGAGTCAGTCAAACATATAAAGTCCTTAGAAGAGTGAGTCCTATGGTGTGGACACTCAATAAATACTTTTTATAATTAAAATTATAATTGTTGTAACATTCCCATCGCAATGTCATTGAATACCTTTGTGAAGAAGCATCTGCATTTTATAGAGCAGAACAGTTATTCCGACAGGCATGGAGTTCGGCTTTGGAGAGTGAGTTTGGTGAAATAGAAACAGAAACATAAGTTTAAGTCCGGAAGATGTGACTTCCAGTAGTGAATGTAGCCTGCTGAAGGGAAGGGCTAGCCCTGAGCAGCGTCACCTTGTGGAACAGGTAGTTGTACCATGGGCAGTGGGAGCTGGGGAGGAGAGGGCAGGTAAAGAGCAAGGTGCCCGATATAGATTCTCCAAAGTGAAATTCCTGAGGTCAGAGTTGGCCAAACGTCATGGTGTTAGAAGCAGTGGCCAAGCATCCCGGTTCCGTGTTCTCTCACCAGACTCTGGCCCTACCTGGTTTCGGGGATGGCAGGCTGTCACTTTAGGAGTCTTTCATCGACTGCTCCTTTGAGGGTGGCTGCTCAGCATAGTCGCTGAGTCGCACACCATGTGGAGCACGAGGATGGGGCCTCCTCCTCCAACGGCTGGGGCAGGACACCTGGGAGGCAGTGGGTGCCTGTGGCAGGGACCCAAGGTTACCAGAGGACACCTACAGCCTGGAGATGGGAGACGGGTTAGAATGGGCACTGACTTTCTGGCCTGTGTTGGGTTCAAGTTGTGACCCTGGCATCGCCTGGCTCCAGAGACCGGGCGAGCCCTGCAGGCGCTGGGAGCATTGCAGCTCTTTTGAGAGGTGCAGGTGACATGGCCCCACGGGCCACTGGGTGCCTCCTGGAGTGTCATGCCAGCCTCCCCACCCTGGCACACACCAGCGCACTCCCACATCCCACGCTCACATGCTGCACAGATGAGACCGTGGGGTTAAGTGGAAAGAGCGCGCCTGCTCCCATCCCAGTGCCAGGCTGTGCTAGCCGAATGCATGAGCCCCTGGAAGTCCCCACCTGTCCGAGACTCAGTTTCCCCAAGTGTGAAGTAAGACTTACAGTGTCTTTGCTTAGCTCTCGCTCTCTCCTCAAGTGCTCTCGTCTGCTCCAGGTCCTCACTGCCTCCAGCCTCTGTACTGTAGTCTTTGTTTATTTTGCTCGTTCTCTGCTCCTGTCTCTGTCCACAGGGAGATTCCTTCTCACAGGATTTTGTCAGCTTCATTCATTCCTGTGTGCCCAGTGCCAGTCCCAGTGCCTAGGACAGACTAAGTGAGCTAACAACTTTTTAGGGGAAAAAAGGATGAAGCCAAGGATCGTCTGTACGCCCGAGAAATACCACCTCGAGCAGAGCAGGCAGCCGGCGCTTGGTTCAGAGTACGCATTCAATAAATATTGGCTAATTATGATTATCATGTCTAATTCACAGGACTGTTGTGAGGATCAAACAAGATAATGTATGCTAACGCATGCTGCGAACACTCCGTGCTGGGTCCAGGAGGTACAATATTAATACTCCCTGCTGCTGGGAGGGGCTTGCCCTTAACTGTGGGCTAGGAGGACAGAGGGGAAGGGATAGGGAAGGACTGCCCAGGTCCCAACAGCAGTGGTCTTTCAAGGACTCCTCTGCAGAGGTCCCCGAATAGCTATGTTTGTGTGGATGTGACATTTTATAATGCACACCTAATCAACAGTTATTTTCACCTCTTTGAGCAGCTCTGAGGCCAGTGTGCTGGGCACCTGCCTGGGCCCTCCTGGGAGGGTGGGGGAAACTGCCTTGTCAGTAAAAGCCTCTTGGTTTCCTGGAACGATGTGGCCCTCAAGAATCCCCAGGTGTAGACTCCCCTGAGACAGCCCCCCTTTCATGCTAGAGATTTTGGCTTTCTGAAGCACACCCCTTGGTTGGGTTTTTCCAGGACACTTGTTTAAGCTTTGATGTCTTTATCCAAAAAAAGAACAGACCCCAACAGTTTCCTGCCTGAGGCCCATAGTTCCCAAAACGCATGGCCCAAGCATCGAGGTAATTCCTTCTTCTCACCTGGTCGGGACATGTGACCTGTCGGGGGCAGGGCGGAGGGGGGGTGCTGGGGAGCCGTGGGTGTGTGAAGAGCAGGGCTGCTTGGGGGTCCCGCGAATGGGTCCCTCTGCCCATCGTCGGTTAGTTGGTCGGTCGGTCGGTCCGTTGTCCTTCACCCGCATGGTGGACCAGGAGGGTGTTGCTGTCCTCATTCTGCAGTCGCACAAGTCGGGCACAAGATAGAGAGGCCAGGTCACGTCTCTGCAGTTACACAGCTCACGAGTGCCTGCTGGGGTGGAACCTGGTCTGTCTGTCTGTCTAGCACCACAGCTCGGGCGCTGCTGCAGAGGGAGCAAAGCTTTGGAAGGGCTCAGGTGGTGTGCGAGGGCTTTCACCAGGCTGGCCTTGGCATGAAAATAATGACCGACTGCTCGAGGACAAGTGATGTGAGTGCTGCAGATAGGGAATGGGCAGGGAGTGGTTAGTCTGCTCCCAGCGTCACACCGCTGGTCGGAGGCTGAGGGTGGATTGGCAGGTGGTGCTGCAGTGAGCAGTGTCTGTGCTCTGACCAGGGGGCCACACTACCCTGTGACTGTCGTTGGAAGTGGTGTAGAGCACAAGAGCCTGGCTTAGAGTCCTTTTAGGAAACCTGGATGGGTGAGCTTCAAAGTCAAGCTTGTGTCTTTCACTCTTCCAGTTTGACTTTTCTGGCTTTCAGTTGTGCCATCCTGCATGAGCCCCGAAAGCCACGGACACATGGAAAAGATTTGTTTTTGTTTTTGAGACAGGGTCTCACTATGTAGGTCAGGCTGGCCTAGAACTCATTAAGTAGTCCAGGCTGGCCTGGAACTTGTGGTGATCCTCCTGCCTCATCATCCTGAACGCTGGATGATAGGCATGCCCCACACGCCCAGCCAATACACACCTGTGTTAAAATTTGCACATGTAAAAGGGGAAGGGGAGGGCATCCTGGAGACTTGGGAGTGATTGCTAAAGCGTTAGGGAAGAGAGGGTAAGAGGGGGGACATTGGAGGAGGGAGCCAGGCTGGCTTTGTCACAAGTGGTTTTAGCAGTGGGTAAAATAAGAGCGAGCCCGCCAGCAGGGAGGAAGGTGTAGGAGAAGCCAGGGATTGGGATTAATTCCCCACCACCGAGAGACATAAAGAAAGAGCTCAGAGTGGTGTGTGGCTGTTAATTTTATTATTAAAAATAATAAAGGAATAAGAAATAATGTAATCAAGTCCTTGAATAGAACAGTTGAGAATCTGCTAGGTAAAGACTCGTGACTAATTCCGGTCTGCTAACCTGACATTAATGAACAAAAATGATCCAGCAGGTGACTCTGTTCCTTTCAGCATGGCTTTGTGTCCCTCAAAAGGACACCCTGGGGATCCTCCGCCAGAGAGGAGGCTATGACAAGTGAAAGCCGGGCTTAATGATGTCCCTTCAGTAGGTAAAAGTCATGGCAGAGGTAAAATTAAAGAGTGCCAAGCGTGGACCAATGATGCGAAGGGGTTTTACCCCTTCCGGCTTCATTGCAGTTCAATTGACAGATAAAAATTGCATGTATTTCTGATGTGATGTTCGGATACATTGTGAAATGATCACCACAATCAAGCTAATCAGCATATCATGTCACCACACGTAATTACCTCTTTGGGCGTGTGCCAAGACAACTTTAGATCCATTTTCTTTGCAAATTTCAAGCATACACTATGATTAACAGTGGTCACCCTGCTGTACTTTAGGTCACCACAACTTTCCATCTCACAACTAAAAGTTGTAGCTGTTGATTTGCTTGTTCCCACTTTTCTCGTCCACTGAGCCCCATTAGCCACCTTTCTACTCTGGCTCTGTGTGGATATTAAATTCTCAATGAGCTCTCGGCTGCTGAGGCAGTGGGCAGGACATGGGGATATGGAATGTCACTGCTCTCAGCCCGGGCAGTGGCTTCAATGTATTTGCTGTATGGTTAAAAAATGAACTAAATGAATAAATGACAAACTAGAAAAAGGTCACGAATGGGCCACCAAAATGATGTTTTATGAACTAAGAATTAAGATGCAGCCATTTAGGTATAATTGTTGACTACAACAGAAGACTTTTACCTCTGAATGAGAAGCGACTGGGTGGACTAATCAATGTTTTTGTTCAGGATTGTTGCTGGGTTCATTTGTGCTTATTGTATTTAAAAGATAAATAAAAAGGAAGAATAGGAAATAATGATGAGATTATATGTGGAATCAAAGATTGCTATTTAATTCTGTGTATCTGAGTGTCAGGAAGGATAGTTTTGTGGTTCATGTGTGGATATAACATACAGACAGATGCTTGTAATAGTGCTTGTTTTTGTTTTGGATTTGGGTGGCGAATTCATGCATATTCATTGTAACAATAAAAAAATGAATAAACGAATGAAAAGAAATACTGAGAATTGTGGGGGAGGCTGTGTCATGAACTGAAGATTATAGTTAATCCTGTTCTGTTCACTAATGGCCATCTCATTAATTTTATTTTTTTAAATTTTGGATTCTTTTTAATATCTACCCTGTGTCCCACAGAAAGGAAGCCCTGTAGTTGTTGTGATGCCACTCCTGACGGGCACCTCAGACGTGACCAGTGACCAGTGGGCCAACCTGACCCTGTGAGTAACAGCGAGTCTATAATTTTGAGCTTGGATGACTGGCTGATGGGTGTTTATTGCATTATTAAACAGGAATGGCTCTGTACATAAAATCAAAGATGAGACTGTCATGAACCGAGGACAATTAACCCAATTAGGCATAACCAGCACCAAATCAAGCAAAATATCATTAGGCCATCCTCTGTGTAGGAATAGCAAAGGGAAAAGCAACACATCTATGTGTCTATATATTTCTCTCTATAGCTCTCTCTACATGTCCTGTTTACACACACCCATGTGTCACAGGCATCTCTTGTTTCTTCTTGTTTTCGTACTGGTGGTGGATTCATGCCTTTTTATGGAATAAGATCAAAGAGGGTTGAGCATGGACTAAGGAAGACAATATATCATGACTACAATTTATACTTACACAATTTCCCAAACGTTAGAGGTCTTGAAACAACAATATCTATGCTTTTTCACTTATTGTTTTTTTGTTTTTGTTTTTTTTGGTACCATGGATCGAACTCAGGTCTTTGCATTTGCACAGCAGGCGGCGAAACCACTGAGCTAAATCCCTGGCCCTTTTTCACTTATTGTAGTAGCATTCTACTGTTAATGTACATTCTATGGCTTATACAGACACCTCCCTATTGGGATATTAACTTGGAGAGCAGCTCATAGAGGGAAATAAAACATTGGTAGTTTTCTTTGAATTGAGTAGGATTAATGGGTGTCCTTCAGGGATAAGTTCTAAGGATAGACCAGTGAAGCTAATATTCTGTAAACCAAGGCTTATTTCAATTCTACAAGTGGGAGCCATTCACAGATGGTCCAGGGTGTTCATTTTTCTGAAAGTTGCTTTCTGTTGCACTATTCATAGTTTCTGCACACGTGCAGTATTCTTGAGGATTTTGACTCTCCCTTGAGTAAACAAGGTATTAAAGAAGATTTAAATAATAGTTGGTGTTCCAAAATCTTTGGCTGGACCATTGTTCATGAGTATTCATCGGTAAGTGAGTTAATGAATGAGCAAGTTAATGAATAAATGAAGAGAGAACTGACACGGGACACGTTAGTACCATCTCATGGTAGTGAGTGCTTCTGTTGCTTTGGCATCCATTTGAACGTGAGCTTCCCTTCCTCAGACCAGAAGCAGGGCTCAGTCACCTTAGACATGGTTTCTAGCTCTCCACCTCCTTCCGGTTCCTTAGTGGGGGAGACTCAGGTATGGTCGCCTCTCTGTGAGCACATCCCTGTGAGACTGCTAAACGCAGCACCATCCCCCCAAACCCGCCCAATATGCTTTAAATCCTGCCAGAAAATCTGCCTGGGTTTCATCGTGGACCCCAATCAAGCACCTTTCTTCCTCTTGACCATGTGAGGCAGCCTCCCTGGTCTCTTGGGACGTGCAAGTAACAAACTGCTTCTGCCATCCCCCATGCTTAGTTGTGTCTCCTGTGACCAACACACCTGAATCTAAGCTCTTTCCAGGTTAGGGATCTCTATAGAGAGGGGTTGTCTTGTTGGGGTAAATTGAACACAGGTTAGACAAGAAGAATCACAAGAACATCCGCCAGGTTCCCCATGAGCAGGACACCAGGCTAGCAGAGGTGTCCTAGGCAGTAGACTGGTGTCAGGATAAGTAAGTGTCCTGTGCAAAGCATGCTGGCAAAAACTGGTTGATTCATGGAACTATGAAATAGGCTTATTCATTTTATTTATTAACTATTAAGTATTAGGTCAGATGTGTACTCCAGTTTGTGTGAACATGTCTCCAGTGACGAAGATCTATGTGTCTTGACAGAAGAAGATCAAAAAGTTGTCAGAGCTGTAGTGTATGTGTTGAATAGTGGTTTTGAGAGTACTCATTATATTGTTCAATGATTTACTTGAAAAAATGATGAACTAATACTAGAATACATACATGGTGCAAGGGTGGTAATGTACCCAGAAGCAGGGCTTGAAATTAATTCATACACAAGTGTCGTTCGTAAGTACAAGGTCTCTTCGGTGGCATGTTAGTGAGGAGCATAGAGATGGGAGGAGCTAGTTGCCTCCGTACTTGAAGGCAGGAGGATGGCAAGTTTGAGCCCAGCCTGCGGAATTTGGGGATATAGTAGGATCCTGTCTCAAAAAATCAAAGAAGGCTGGAGATATAGCTCAGTGTGAACGCCATGGGTTCAATCCCCATTATGACCAAAAATGAATTGAAAAATTAATGAAGTTATTGCAAGGACCAATTATGAGAATATGATAAGTATCAAAGGTCACAATTAAGGATTAATCCAACTCAACACAACTTAATTCCATTAAAAGTACAGCATGGTCATTTTTTTTTGGTACCGGGGATCGAACTCGGGACCTTGCACTTTTGAGACAGGCACTGGAACTACTGAGCTCAATCCCTGGCCCAAAAATACAGCATGGTCATTTTTATTAGCATTTTAATATTTCATATTAATTTTATACCACTTTGGATTTAAACAGTCCACTGACCTATGCTGTTAGCTCTCTGAGCAGGTAGCAGGAAGGGTGAATTCATATCTGTTACAGAGGAAGATGGTGGCTTCATAGTGGCTCTTGGGCCATCTTTGAAACATGAGACAAATTAAAAGAAAAGGCTGTCAATGGGCCCTTGATTCCTGATGAATCAAGGAAAAAGTGAATAAATGCATGAGAAAAAGGGATATCATACACACTAAATTTTAATGTATATACTGAAACAAAGATTATTATAATTTCTTTTGAGGGGGTACTGGGGATCAAACTCAGGATCTTGTGCTTGCGAGGCTGGTGCCGGAACCACTGAGATAAATCCCCAGCCCAATTTTAAATATTTTTAAAGTACCAAAACCCATAAAAATAATGAAGGATGATTAGTTACTTTCGGTGAGCAGTTTAGGAACAGGTGCACATATTAAGCAGTGCTGTTATATTGGGTTCATGGCGTGTTGCTCGTGTTTAGTTGTCCTGTATTTATTTATTTCAGAGATAATGAATTACCCGAGCAAATGGCTAATTAAATGGTCGCGGGTCATGTGTGGTGGCAAACGCAGTGTGAGGACAGGGAGGGAGCAGAACAGATACAGTGGGTGCCCACTCCAGAGAGGCCTGGTCCCTCCACTCTGTGGCACAGGTGTCTGCAGCTAGGGCTTGGAACATTGCTGGGTCCTGGTCTTAGACTTTCGTAGCTCATTATTACTCTGTAAGTGAGTCAATGAATAAATCATTAAGCAAATTGAATAAATGGATAAACAAATTCATTAGACATCTATAAAGGAATGAATGAAGAGAGCCACATGCAGACCAGAACATGCAGCAAAACAAGAATCCTTATTAATATGTCCCAGGAGCTGGGAGTGCATGGAAATGCTTGCACACATGCATGCATGCATGCATGCACACATGCACGGGTGAATGGTTGTTCTTGTTTCTAAAGAAACAGTGAGATTTTCACATAAATAAGATAATGCAAGACCTCTGCTGAGAATTACTAGGTGGTAAGAATTTTTATTAATCCAACAAATGTGGAGTATTTCTCTCTGAGGTCAGGGATAGATTTATAAATGTTTTATGCAGAATTTTTGAGTGCTTTCTTTGGTTTCTCAGCTATGGTTTGAAAGGGAATGAGTGTTTTTATCATAATTAGTTGAGAGAGATGATGATGGACCAGGGATAAACATAAATTATGAAACAAGTATTGAGATAAAGCCATTCATGTTACTGATGTCCATACAAACATCCAGGCTCCTGTTTTAGGTTCACAGATAAATTCATGTTATATTGTTTAAGTTTGCGCAGCTGATGAATTTTCATTTCTTAATTGTATTTTAGAAGATGGATATAGGACTAAATTAATCTGGTAATTAAATATTAAACAAGTAGATATAGATACAAACAATGCCCAGAATGAATTGTCAGTGAAAAAGAAAATAATACTTAAGGAATGAGCCATGAGGACAAATGAGCCATGAAACAATTTAAAATCCATTTGATTTGGAACAAGTAGGAGCCATTAAGAGAAGATGGGAGTGAGAAACCGTAGTTTAATACTTCATTTCTTTTTAACCACTGTTGGTTTACTAATTCTAAAGAGAGAAGTTTCTGACTTTCCAAGAAAGAAAAGACCAGGAAAGAGGGAAAATACTGTCACTGAAGGAGAAGGAGAGTTGTCTGCATGTTCTTTTTTTGGGGGGGACGGGGGGTTGGTACCAGGGATCAAACTCAGGTCCTTGTGCTTGTGCAGCAGGCGGCGAAACCACTGAGCTAAATCCCTGGCCCTGCATGTTCTTTATTTAGTACGTGAAATCTGGACAAAGGAAGAAGACAAAAGAAAGTTTCTGCCCTTGGGAGAGTGTGAGGAGGCGCCATGCCAAAGGTGTGTGGCAGTGAGGTCCCCAAGGAAGGGTGACGGGCACAGCTCTGGGAGAGGGACCGAAAACAGAAGGTGGTGATTTTCATAGATCTTGTTCTTGCTTTGTGGTGTTTCATGAATATTGATAAGTAATCATAAATTAATCAATGAGTAAATCAATTAACAAATGTATAAATGAATAAAGAAAAAATGTCACCAGCCGAAACCAATAATAATTACCCTGGCGCATCTGAATTAATGATTTTGATTAAACCTCTAACTCTCAGGTCTGTTATATGAGCAAACCTAATTTATTGCCTCAGTGAGACTGGGCTTTCGTGGGGGTGTGGAGGCATTTTGCTCCCGGGCTCTCGTAGACCATAGGTCCACATGCTGTTATTGTCAGTCGGAGCACACGTAAATAAAGAAAGATGACAGTGAATGAAGACAGTGGGAGCTAGATACTCATTAATTGTGACAGATGTAATGAGATATTAATTATTAAAGTATTTAAGAGGAGCAGGGTTCTAACAAGTACATAGTTCAAGGCTGTCACCACATTGGTTAAGGAACACATGGGTACATAGATGTATGTCAAATTCAGTGGCTTGGTGATGGTTAATTTTATTAACAATTTTATTTAGGGCAGGGGGTGTAGCTCAGTGGTAGGGTACATGCCTAGCATACATACACAGGCTCTGGGTTTAATTCTGAGCTCCACAAGAGGAAAAATAGATCCAAAGCATTTCATTTAAAAAAAAAAAGAAAACATAATAAAGGATTCAGAACTACATAACTGATAGATCACGCATAGGCCAAGGTTAAGAATGTGTTATATGATAGGAGTTGTGATTAAATCAGTTCTGGTCAATGAGATTCATTTAGAAATATACACATTTAGTTGTTTACTGTGGGTAGTGAGCTTATGGGAAAGTATTAGTGTTATCTAGAGCTCTTTTTCAAGTTATATAGGTTCATAAATATCGATGGCATGATTGATTGACTGTACTGAGGATTTCATCCAGGGCCTTGGCACTGAGCTACATTCCCAAACTTTAAAAAAGTTTTACTTTGAGTCAGGGCCTCACTTAGTTGTTAAGTTGCCCTGGCTTTGCTCAAACTTGTGATCTTTCTGCCCCATGCTCCAAGAGTGACCTGTGCCACCATGCTCGGCTTGATTTGTGTTTTACACAGTGCTGGAGATTGAACCCGGTGCCTAACTTACGTTAGGTGAGCAGTCTACTGCTGAGCTACATCCCTAGCCTTTGATGGCATTTTTATAACCCAATTAAATAAGGAATTATTTCAAAGAGGGAAGGCATGGACCAATGATAGTAATATGTCATTTAAAAAGTTAATTATTGGGCTGGGAATGTAGCTCAGTGGCAGAACATTAGCCTAGCATAAAGTCCTGGGTTCCATCCCCAGTGCTGGGGAAAAAACCACAACACAAACAGAATCCATCAAAGTTCATTATTACAAGAACCATTATCAGTTCTACCTTACCGATGTCCATATAAATAAAAGGGGCCCAAGTTGCTTGGCCCTTTGGATTAAGGATATACAGACAGTTATTTGTAGTAATATTTCAGACCATTCTCCATTTGCTTTGAAAAAAAGAAAATACACATATTAAGACCATTAGTAAATAACACATAACTGAGTAATTGAATAAATTCACTGATTAAGGTCAAATATACAGGATTGGTGGGAATATGTCAAGAAATAAAATAAAGTAAATTAAACCAATTTTTTTTGTATCAGAGATCGAACTCAGGACCTTCCACTTGGGAGGCAGATGGCGGCTCCACTAAGCTAAATCCCTGGCCCAAATTAAAGCAATTTTCATACCGAACCTGTAAGAACAAATCTAGGTTTTCACCTGTGTAGATGGTGTTCAATCTACAGAATTAGGAGCAGGCAAAGTTCCTATTCTTCTATAAATGTAGATTTAGAAGGTTTAATTATATTACATAAATTACTAATAAAAAATCATAAATAAGACAATGGCCATTTGGGGGCTAACAGTGGGAATGTGGTCAAAGAATTCGGTTCTTTGATGCAGGACTAAGGTTTCATTAAAAAAAATCCAAATCTCCATTGCTTCTTGAATTTTGTACTTGAATTTTGCGCTTCTTACTCCACAGATACAATGCTCTGTGATTGAGTTCTTCATGGCCCAGAATTGCAGAGCTTGGTTGTCACTTCCGTGGAGAAGCAACAAAAGAACTCATGTAAGTCACTGTGTTTGTGGTTCTGGTTTGCAGGGAGTGCTCAAGCTGTCCACAGACTCATCTCAAAGAAATGAATGGCACCTGCAAACATAAATAAAGGATGAGGGGTTGGGAAATGTCTTTCACCCTCAAATGATGACGCCTAAAGACAACGCATACATTAGTTACCTACACTTAGCCATTCCAGAGTGTTTGTATACTTGTAAACATCACATTATGCGTGCTTAATGCATACCATTTTATCTTTCAATTGAAAGTAAAGTAAAAGTTAAAAAATCGAAGCATGCTAGGCATGGACCAATATTGGGAATGTGTAATGAACTATGCATTAAGATTAAAGAATTTGGTACAACTGACATCCAGTAGAAATGAAATTAGAGTGTGCTGCATTCATTTTCATAGTCACTTAAAATCCCATTCTGATTTTGTGGTGCATGTTTATCTATCAATAAAGATGTAGGTTTCTAATCGCTGAGGAGGAAACGCCTACCTAGGAATGTGCGAAGTGCTGTCAGTGTTCTTGGAGAGGAGTGCGATGCCAGGTAGCTCATTGCACTTTGAAGGGTGAGGAAATGAAATTCATGATCCCCAGGCTGAGCAGTGAGGCTCGGGCAGGGAGGAAGTTGCATTACCAATGAGCACTGTCCATCCCATTGCAGAGATCACTACTCCCGTCTCTGTGTGAAACGCGCTGGAAATAGCATTGGGCAGTGGGCAAAGATCTTGGGTTTTTGTGATGCATGGTTCTTAATATTTGTAATTGGCGGAAACAGGAAATAATCAATAAATGATACATAGACAGGGAAATGAAGAATAAGTATTAAGCCTGGGTCAATGATGAGTAATTGGGCGTGGGCGTATGAATGCGTAGTTTTGGTTCAACATTAACTTGAAGTCCACTAAAAAAGACCAAGGTACTTCCTCTGGGAATAGAGTGAGATTAGAAATTCAAACCAGCAGGGATCTGGCTTTTAGGCTTCAGTAGTTCCTGGGTAGGGCTTAAGAGTGAATAAATGGGTACGTGGATAAATAAATGTGTACGTGAAAATAAAGATTATTAGGTGTGGATCATCTGTGAGGGTGTGTTATGAAACAAGTACTCCAAGTAATGTATTTGTTTAATACTGAGTTTCCGTATCAGACAAAGATAAAAACTACTGTCCCCTTTGGAGCAATAGGAACTTAAGACATGGAGAAGTACCTGCTCAGGTGACTCCACCTATCCATGCTGGAATCCTGGATTAGGCAGAGGTTGCTGGGTTTGGGTCTTATTAAGAAGGAGGAAGAAATATTTACATAAACAAATGATTATTTAACTATGTAGTTGAGAAGGAACAAGAGTGGGCCAATGTGGAATGACTTATATGACACTAGTTGCGATGAATCCGTGTTCACTGAATTTTATGAAAAAAAAAATCCTAAAAAACAAAAAGGGATGGTATCTCTGTGGACACTGAGCAGGTAAGCCGTTATTAATATTTAATATTAATATTATTCAGATAAGAAGGCTTCAGGTCATAAGGTGCTTTTATTGTTTGAAGTTTCTGAATGAATATGGTCATATCTCCAGTGATTACTTAAAAGACAGCCAGCTGTGGGCAGATGTCAGGTGTGACATGGAATAAGGCTAATGACTAGGCCTGCTCAGCCCGGCTGATGTTCACGAGGAGGAAACAGGATCAAGATGCCTAGAATGCAGGTTAAATTCTCGAAGACAGGTTTCTTAACTATTTTTTATTGAGAAAGAGCCAAACTGGACCTAATATTGAGAATGAATCATATGACTAGGATTAGGATTAAATATATCATTGAGCTTTATTTAAGAAATCAAAATAGGATTTAGGTGGTCAGCTATTCAATGCCCTTGTCCCTTGTGCTCACTATTGATACATTGTTATAAAGGATGAAAAATGTGTTCATGTCTAGATCAGTTATGTAGAAGGGCCAATGAGGAACATGTGTTATAAACCAAAGATAATGATTACTCTTGTTACACCCAGATGTTGCCCAGATAATTTATTAGAACTTGAGGTTTCTCCTTCTTTGAGTAAAGTGCCCATTGAAATGTGTGTGCAACAGTTCTTTAGAAAAGTGGATAATCAATTTATTCCATGCAAATTATAGTCATGAATAAATGAATGAATCACTAGACATGTAAATTAGAAAAATTGCACATCACTCATGAGAAAATGCCATGAAACAAAGATTTACATTTATCCAATTTTGTCCAAGTGAGATCCATTAAAATCAAGAAGCTAATAATTACAGAGTGCTGTTCTTGAGTAGTGATGAAATTGTGCGATGACACAAATTTGATTTATTTAATACTGTCAAACATACTTCCACTAACAAAATCTAACTATATAGGCTCTTTCTTTCCTTTGAAAGTATGTGTTTTACTTCACCAGCTGAATATACCACCACTGATTTAATCACCCTCTAATGCTAAAGGTCTAGGCTTTTACCTCTGTGGGTAAGGAAAGAAGAGATTTATGTAAGTAATAGCTAGAGTTTAATGTTCTGGGGTTTGAAGTTTGGTTTATGGGTGTTGCCCGCATTTTTCAAAGTCATAAATGGATATATTCATAAATAAAACCAACTAACACCAGCAACGACAATGAGAATGTGCTCAGATTTCAGATTTATGATAAATCTGATTTAGCACTAGTAAAATCCAATAAAAAAGATGCAAGATGTTTCATTCATGTTCATGGCTGCTTCATATTCTGTTTTATTTTTGCATTGTGATTCATTTAAGTACCTCTCCACTGACAAAGATTTAAGATATTAATTCCTTGAGGGAAAAGCATATAGGAAGATGGATAATATTGTCAGTGTTCTCCCTGGTTGTGGAGTAAGATTATAGTTCCTTGGTTATTCTTTGCACTATCTTTAAATGAAAAAGGGTAACATGGGCCAACGGCTATCATGGATCCATTATGAAACACGGATGTTAATTTATATATGCAAAATAGGAACATCCATTACAAAATGTGCTCTAAACTATTAGGTCTGTGGGAAACAAGCATTTAGACTGTGACTAGAAATATTCAAGCATGTTCTGCTTTTTGCTTCATGAGAATTTTTCATAATTATTTAGTGAGTCATTGACTAAAAGTATGAGCAATGTACAAATAAAGGAAGAAAATATATCAAGTGTAGAATAATACCTATTTGAGATGCATGAATCAAAGATTTGGATTAAACTCTAACTTAGAGGTCTATTAGAAAAAAATGAACCTCCATATTTCTTCTGTGGAAGAGGGGCTTTGTAGCAAAAGTTAAGGATAGTCAAGGAGTTGGATCTTAATTTTTCATGTCTGAATTATACTATAAATGAACCAGTGCAAAAATAGAGATGTGTAAAGGATGGCTGATTTTGCAATTTTGCAGTGAAACAAGGATTATTATTTCTTGCTGTTTGCTAAAGCACTGGGTCTCATAATAATAAATAGATGAGGTCTTTCTTATGGTTTTCCATAAAGGACGTAGCTGTTCCATGAACATCCAGGTTGTTTGGATCAGGATATATAGCTACTTTTTGGTTTTATTTAGAAAAAAAAACCAAATCATTTATATAAAAAATGATGCTTAGAATAATTGCCTAATAGAAAGAAGGCCAAGTATGAACTATATTGTCCATGTGATAGTATTATTAACACAGTTCTGTTTGCTGAATATAATTTTTTAAAAAAGCACCATGTCCATTATATATCTGTGAGCCACGAGCATATATAGGTAGATAGATAGGTAGATAGATAGATACTGGTATTATTAGTTGATGCTCCAATCCACTGTCTTGGCTTGTATTCATTCTGATGCATTGGTAAAAGTGAATGAGTAAGTTCATATCTCAACCAACTGTGGGTTGGTGAAGAGCAGGTGTCATCAAACAAAGGTATGATTAATCTACATTTTTCGATGAAGACAAAAGAAATCTAGACTCATCGCATTTTGGACAAAATGTCTATCAGGAGTTGCAGGAAATTGTATTCAATCTTGGATTGCTGGTGGGTTTTATTCTTTTATTTAAAAACATGAAGAGGGTCAAATGATTCTCTGTGTAATAAAAATCACAAGTGAGTCTGTTAATGCATAAATTAGGGTAAGTGTGGATCAATGCATCATGGGGACTCTCAGCAATGAATAATTTGGTCCTCTGAAGCAGATTAATGAGGTTAGGGTGGCTACGTGGTGAGGGAGTATATAGATGGATAGATGTGATAGTTTCATTTATTTCTCCTATACTGGGTGATATTATATTATTTATATAATATAATGATATTCATTATATTAAAAATTAAACAGTAAATAAATCAGTGCATAAAAAGCCAAGTTATTCTTGAGTCAGTAATGAGAATGTGATGGGAACTAAAGTTTATGATTAATCTAATCCCTCATGACTCAGGTCTATTAAAAGACGTTAAGGCTGTGGTGTTCTATTCTTTATCAAATGTGCATTTTACTTCCCAGAACAAAAACACCATAGATGATGACTCAATTATTCCATAATAACAAAGACCTTAGTTTTGAGCTCTGTGGGTAAAGAGCATTGATGTTGTTGTTGAGCACAGTCACGTTTCATATTCTTGGTCCAGATGGTTTGTCAGTCATTGCATTGTGTCAAAGGAATAGATGGCCAGGTATATAAATAGGTAAAAGGATGCCATACAGGAACCAACAGTGAGGGAAATAAACCAAAGTTTGGTATTAATCCAACTCAGCACAACTGAAGTCTGTTCATAATGATGGAGGGCTTTTAGCCATCTTTAGAGGTTTTTAATGTTGTGACTTATTTTGTCCCGTTGTTGATTTAAACACTTCTCAGGTGATAAAGCTCTGGACCATCATCTTTTTAAGGTAGGGGCAGACAGGAAGGGCGAAGGTTATGTGGCCGCGGTGGGTGTTAAGTTGGTGGCTCATGGGAAGTCGTTGTGCAGGCTGGGCATCCCAAATCCGAGAATCTAAAATCTGAAGATTTAAGAAAAACTTGAAAATTT